CGGGGTCCGCGGGGGAGGTGCGCGCCTTCAGACGCGCGCCCGGCACCCCCGCCCCGCGGTTGGGGACAGCAGGCCTCGCCCCGGGACCCCCACTTCCTGCTCCCCCGCCTCAGCCCGGAGCCCCCCTCTCGGCGACTGTCCGCGTCCCCGCAGCCCCGCGCTCGCCGCCAGGGCGCGCGCCTCCGGGCAGCCGTCCATGACCATCCCAGGGAGGCTGGCGGCGGGCTCTGCGTCCCCCCAGCCGCCCGTGGGGTCACTTACGTTAGAGTCCTACCCCCCACCACAGTAGGGTAACACTATCACAGGGGCCCAAAAGGTCCTCCCTCCTGCCCTGGGGGCTGGGGAAGTGTCTACCCAGACGTGGCCACCCCACCATGGGGTCCCCAAGCCCAGAGGAAGACCAGAGAGGAGCTCCACTTGGTAAATTGTATGGTCCATTTAGTAATGTGTGCCAAGATCTTTCTGCTTTTTTTTAACTTTTAATTTTGAAATCATTTCAAATTTGTGGAAAGGTTGCCAAAAAAAGTACCAATAACTCCTGTATTCCTTCACTCACATCTCTCTCCATCCCTCCCTCTCTCTCCCTTTCTCTCTCCCTGAATGTAACTTTTCTGGATCATTGGCTACTTGGAGACATTGTGTTTCTTGACCCCTAAGTACTGTGATATGTATTTCTTAAAATCAAGGACATCCTCTTACATAACCAAATGTGTCAAAATGAGGAAATGCACGCTGATAAAACACTATGAGTCCAACCCCCAGACTTTAGTCAGATGTCAGCATGTCTCACTTGTGCTTGTGGAACTCTTCTTCAGGACCAGGATCCAGGCGGGGGTCACTGGCTGTGTTTCAGTTGTCATGTCTCTTTAGCCTTCTTTAATTCGGGTCAGTCTTGATCAGTCTGCCTTTGTCCTTCTCAACTCTGACATTTGAAGAGAGGGGCTGGTGATTCTGTAGAATGCCCCTCGATTTAGGTTTCTCTGAGACTTCTTTTATTTATTTATGTATTTATTTTGTGAGGAAGATCAGCCCTGGGCTAACATCGATGCCCATCTTCCTCCACTTTATATGGGACACCGCCACAGTGTGGCCTGACAAGGGGTGCATCTGTGCGCGCCCGGGGTTCTGAAACTGGGCTGCCAGCAACGGAGCACGTGCAGTTAACCACTACCCCATGGGGCCGGCCCCTCTCCGAGACTTCATTAGATTCAGATTATGCCTCGGTGGCAGGAATACCCCGGAAGGCACCTCAGAAGGCACCCTGTGTTCTCGTTGACCCGATGAGGGGCAGGTGATTTTAACTGGTTCCCATATTTGGTGATGTTAACTTTGAGCACCAAGTCCATGTCCTCCAAGTTTTGCTACTGTAAAGTTACCATTTTTCCCTTTGTGATGAACAACTGACCTGTGGGAAGATTATTTGAAACTATGTGAATATCCTGTTCCTTATAGAACATTGGTGACTCCAGCCTGAATCAGATTACTACAACGATTGCCAAGTAGTGATGTTTAAACTGTCGTTCCTTCTGCGTTTATCTGTAAACATTTTACTGTAAAAGTACCTATGTCAATACGGATGCACAGATTCCTTTTATATTTAGTGGGTTATAACCCATTACTATCCTTACTTATTTAGATGCTCAGATTGTCCCAGATTTGGGCCAGTGGGAGCTCCTCAAGTTGCCTTCTGTGCCCTTTTGACATATTCTGTCGTTTTTGACCAGATTCTTACTTCTGGCACGAGATGTTCCAGGCTTATCCTGTCCTCTCCCAGCCCCAGCCCTGGACTCAGCCATTTCGCCCCTGAGCCCTGGTTCGTTTTAGTGAGGAGTCATATTAGCACCCAAGATCTGGAAGCGAGGGGTGCTCATGGCCCCTGGGATGTCGCTGCTCATGTCCTTTCAGTGAACAGACTGGGGACAAATAGCCCTTGCATCCCATTCTTGCCTTTCATTAGTTTATATTTGTAGCTCCCGTCTCTCACCCTGAGAACCCTGCTCCCAACAATGTCCATGTATTTCCTCCTTTGCTTAACTCTACAATATACTCAACGGGTTTTAGAATTGCCACGCCTGTCCTGTTATTAACTATAAACCTACTAACCTATGAAGTCAGATTTCAGTTTTCTGTGCAGTGCTGTTAGTCCTTTTAGACTGAGTGAAAGTACTGTAACTAAAAGTTGATTGGATTTTTTCTTTTCCATTTTTCTTTATGATGGTTGTTACCATTTTATACATAGTTCTTTTGTTTGTTTGTTTCCAGTTTTGAAGTTTAAAAAAATCCTTGTTGATTTAATTTTGTTTTTGAATATGTAAAATATTAATATGTGATCACACATCAAAACTTTACAAGAAGATATACTCAAAGACTCATTCTAGCTTATCTTTCCTGTATTTCTCTTGGCAAAAAAATATGTATTTCTAAATATACGTATATTTTTTCTCATTTTTCCTTCTTTACTAGACACAGATAATAAACAAGGTGACATACCATATGTGCTTTTTATTGTTTTCCTGTAATATCCTGGAGTTCCCTTCAAATTCGTTATTAAGTCTGTCTAATTTTTTACAAATGTGTAATAGTCCATTGTGCAGCTATGCCTCAAACAACCGTTTATCTTATTTTCACTAATTTGCAGTTACCTAACCATCCTGCATTTATGTTATTATGAGTAACGTTGAACATCTTTATATATTTAAGGGTTACATATATATGTGTGTACACCATGAAATGTTCATGCTTTTTGCACATTTTTCTATCAGATTTTTAAATCTTTTTTCCTTCAAATTTAAAAAAGTTCTTTATATATTAGGAATATTAATCCTTTATCTGTGATATGTATTGCAAATATTTTCTCCCAGTTTTTCATTTTTCTTCTGGCTTTGCTTATGGTTTTATATGCAAAAGTTTGGAAAAATATTAATGCATTTGAATAGTAGTCTTTTCTTGCCTTTAGGTTTTGAGTCGATTAGAAAGTCTTCCTCTATACCCGTGTTTCCTTCTAGCACTTATATGGTTTCAGTGTTTACGTTTAGATCTCTGATCTATTTGGAGTTTATTCTGGTGTATGGTGTGAGATATGAATCCAATTTTACCTTTTCCTAAAAGGCTAAGCCAGTTGTCCCAACACCAGTTTTTTTAAAAGCCACATTTACTCCTGTGGTTTGGGACACGACTTTTAACATATCCTAAATTGCCATACATACTTGGATCTGTTTCTAGATTTTCTATGCTATGCCAATGGGTTTTTGTTCACGCACCAGTACCACGCTGTTGTGATAAAATGTACATGACAAAATTTACCATCTGAACTATTTTTAAGTGTACAGTTCAGTGGCTTTAGGTGCATTCACATTGTTGTGCAGCCGTCACCACCATCCATCTGCAGAACTTCTTCATCACCACAAACTGAACCTCTGTCCCCGTGAAACACTAACTCCCCATCCCCCACCCCTAGTCCCTGGTAGCCATCATTCTACTTTCTGTCTCTGTAGATTTGACTATTTCAGGTATCTCATATAAGTAAAGTTAGACAATATTTGTCCTTTTATGTCTGCGTTATTTCTACTTAGCATAATGTTTTCAAGATTCATCCACGTTGTAGCATGTGTCAGAATTTTCTTTCTTTTTAAGGCTGAATAATATGTATGTATGTATCACATTTTGTTTATACATTCATCCTTCAATGGACATCTGAGTTGTTTCCACCTTTTGGCTATTGTGAATAATGCTGCTGTGAACGCTGGTGTACAAATATCTGTTTGAGTCTGTTTTCAAGTTTTTTGGTTATGTACCCAGAAGTGGAATAGCTAGGTCATATGGTAATTCTGTGTTTAAATTTTTTTTTTTTTTGTGAGGAAGATCAGCCCTGAGCTAACATCCATGCTAATCCCCCTCTTTTTGCTGAGGAAGACCGGCCCTGAGCTAACATCTATTGCCAGTCCTCCTCCTTTTTTCCCCCCTTTTTCTCCCCAAAGCCCCAGTAGATAGTTGTATGTCATAGTTGCACATCCTTCTAGTTTCTGTATGTGGGACGCGGCCTCAGCATGGCCGGACAAGTGATGTGTCAGTACGCGCCCGGGATCCGAACCCGGGCCACCAGTAGTGGAGTGCGTGCACTTTACCGGTAAGCCACGAGGCCGGCCCCCTGTGTTTAATTTTTTGAGGAACCGCCACACTGTTTTCCACAGCAGCTGCACCATTTTACAATCCCACCATCAGTGCGCAGGGGTTCCAATTTCTCCACATCCTCGCCAACGTTGGTTTTTTTCTCTTTTCTGTTTTTTTTTTTTAAATCATAGCTCTCCTAACAGGTGTGAAGCACACAGTTTTAATAATAAAGGCTTTATAGTCTGCTTTAATGTCTGGTAGGGATAGTGTCTCCACATACCTCTTCTTTTTTAGGGGTTTCCTAGCTATTCCTTTTTTTTTTTGCAGGGAAAGATTCGCCCTGAGCTAACATCTGTTGCCAATCTTACCTTTCTCTTTTCTTCTCCCCAAAGCTCCAGTGCGTAGTTGTATATTCCAGTTGTAAGTCCTTCTAGTTCTTCTGCGTGAGCCGCTGCCACAGCATGGCTACTGACAGACGAGGGGTGTGGTTCCACACCCGGGAATGGAACCCAGGCTGTTGAAGCCATGAAAGTGCCGAACTTGAACCACTAGGCCATCAGGGCTGGCTCTCCTAGCTATCCTTTTTTCCCCCTGCTCATTTATTTACATATTGTCTGTGATTGTTTTCGTGCTAAATAATAGAGTTGGGCAGTTGGGACAGAGACCACAGAGGCTGCAAAGCCAAACGCGTTTACTCTCTGACCCTTGACAGAAAAAGTTTGTTGACCCCCCCAGTCTGAGTCATGGTTCCTAACTCTGCACATTAGAATCACCTGAAGTTTATCCTGACCACTGCCTGAAGTTCTTCTTCCTTCTAAACAGCTTTACTGACTATAATTTACATACCAAATAGTTCACCCATTGAAATTGCGTGATGGGGGCCGGCCCCGTGGCTTAGCGGTTAAGGGCGCGCGCTCTGCTACTGGCGGGCCAGGTTCGGATCCCGGGTGCGCACCGACGCACCGCTTCTCTGGCCATGCTGAGGCCGCGTCCCACATACAGCAACTAGAAGGATGTGCAGCTATGACATACAAGTATCTACTGGGGCTTTGGGGAAGGAAAAAAAAGAGGGGGATTGGCAACAGGTGTCAGCTCAGAGCCAGTCTTCCTCAGCAAAAAGAGGAGGATTAGCATGGATGTTAGCTCAGGGCTGATCTTCCTCACAAAAAAAAAAAAAGAAAATGCGTGATGGTTTTGGTATGTTTACCCAATTGTCCAACTATCATAATCTAATTTTAGAACATTTTTATCATCCTGCAAAAACCTTGTACCCATTGGTGGCTATTCTTTTTATTCCCCGAGATTTTATTCTGAAAACTTTCAAACATACAGCAAAGTTGAAAGAATTTTACAAAAAACAAAATAAAAGAGACAAGAAACCAGCCACTCATATACCCACACCTGGACTCCACCATTGACATTTCCCTGTACCTGCTTCATCGCGCATCTCACCATCCCTCCGTCCCTCCGTCTTATTTTGGGGGTGTTGCAAAGCCTATGGCAAACATCAGTACACTTCACCCTAATGCTTCAGCATGCATATCACTAACTAGAATTCGTCTCTGTTTATAGTTTGTTCTCTTTTGATGTAAAATGTATGTAAAGTGAAATCTACAAATCTTAGAGACACATTTGCTGAGCTTTGACGGTGCGCGTTCCTGTGGAACCCAAGCCCTCACCACGAGCGAATGCCACCGTCACCCCAGGACAGCCTCCCCTGCCTCCTCCCGTCCCACAGAGGCCCCCGCTGCTCTGAGGTTCCCACCTTCTGTCAGCTGCACCTGCTCTAGACGCCGCAGAGACAAGTCGCGCAGTGCACAGCCTGTGGTGTCTGCTTCCTTCACACAGCGTGATGCTTTTGAAACTCATCCGTGTGGTTGCGTGTGTCAATAGTTCGTTCCTTTTTGTGGCTGAGTAGTATTCTCCTAGCTATTTTTACAGGCTTAATTTTCCCTACTGAGTTCTTTTTTTTCCCTCTTTCTAACAACGGCTTTACTGAGATATAATTGCCATACCCTACAATTCACCTGTGTAAAGTGTACAATTCAGTGGTTTTTAGTATATCCAACCGAGCTGCATGACCATCACTACAATCAATTTTAGAAGATTTTCATCACCCCCGAAAGAAGCCCCGTGCCCTTTAGCAGTCACTCCTCAATCTCCCAGCCCCTGGGCACCACTAATCTGCTTTAGTTCTGTCTCTATGGATTTGTCTATTCTGGACATTTCCTGTAAATGGAACCACACGACACCTTATTGAGTTCTTGTATTGTGTCAGCTCAGCCCTTTCTGTAACTCACATACCAGCCCTAGGAGGGAGGTCCTACTTTTATGTCCAGTTCATAGATGAGGTGTTGGATTACTATGAGAGAGATGGGGCATCTTGTCGTGGGTCCTCAAGCCGGAGAGTGGCAGCTCCCGGGTCCGTGAAGTTGGTGTTCTTTCTACGGCCCAGGTTGCCCCAGAGAGCGCTGCCCCCACCCCAGTTCTGAGGGCTTCCACCAGGGGCTGGGGGGCTTCCTTCGGGCATGGCCAGGCCCCCTTGGAGGCTGAACAAAGTTCCCCCATCCCGGCCGCCTCCTAGGTGTACATATTCCTGGTGAAGTGGCAGGACCTGTCTGAGAAGGTGGTCTACCGGCGGTTCACTGAGATCTACGAGTTCCATGTGAGTGGCTGGTGGGGTGTGGGGGGGGGGGGGGGTGTCGCCACAGCCAGTCCCAGCCCACTCTTTGGTGAAGAGAGGGGCCCAGGTGCTAGCAGGACCCTGGAGCCCTCCGCCCATGGTTACGGAGGAATTAGTGCTATTTTTTTAAATTTTAAAAACATTTTACTTATTTTTATTGTGGTAAAATATACATAACATAAATTACCATTTTAACCCTTTTTTTTTTTTTTTGTGAGGAAGATCGGCCCTGACCTAACATCCGTGCCCATCATCCTCCACTTTATGTGGGACGCTGCCACAGCATGGCCTGACAAGCGGTGCGTCGGTGCGCGCCCGGGATCCAAACCCAGGCCGCCAGCAGTAGAGCGTGCGCACTTAACTGCTACGCTACGGGGCCGGCCCCATTTTAACCATTGTTAAGTGTACACTTCAGTGGCATTAAGGACATTCACAGTGTTGTGCAACCAGCACCACCATCCATTTCCGAAATGTTCTCATCTTCCCACACAGAGACTCTGTACCCATTAACGGGGCATTCTTAAGGGACGTGCTTGCTCTGTCCCTTTAGGGGGAGCCTGGCCAGTGCCACCACCCCGGTTGCTGTCCCAGGAGCGTGCTCTTTTCCTCGGGGTCACTGGCCTGATGAGGACCCCGGGAGGGTTGATGATCCCAACCCCCAGGAGACGGGTCCTCTCATTTTATGGGTGTCTGCAGCCACAAAGGTTTACAGGAACGCATCCCAGGGGCTCTAAGCCCCCATAGGGTTCCCACACAGAGACCGCTGGACAGAATTGGGGGTGGTCCTCGGGGGTCAGGAGGTGCAGAGCTTGGCTGCTGGGTCCTGGTCTGAAGACGCGGTCAGGGAGCTGGAGGGTCCACAAAAGCTAGAGGAGTGGCCCAACAGCCCACTTCGTATGCAGGCCCCTCCTTCACCAGGGAAGGGCGGAATCACAATTGCTGGCCCAGGGCCATTTGCCACCAGGCTTCCTTAACAAAAAGGAACTAGAACATTACAAACGCGGAAGGTTCCCTTCATCTCACAGCCCGGCCCACCTCTTCCCCTGAGGGGCTGTGTGTGTACCGCACACATACATGCGCACACGCACACGCACATACACACACGCACATACACGCACGCATGCGTGTGCACACACACACGGGGTCCAGGAACAGTACGCAGTGGTGTGGGAGTGCACGGCTGCAGTCTGTATAAAGCCGTCAGCGTGCGGCTGCCTGCCCTCTCTCTCTCATCACCGTCACTAGGTTTCGTTTCTGAGACCTGTCCACTCTGATACGTGTGTGGCTCCATTTTAGCTCTTTAAACTGTTCTAGGCTGTTCCCTTGTAGGATTAGCCTCTTTTGTTAATCCGGGCTCATCCATTCATTCAACATTTATTTATTGAGCCCTACTAAGTGCCAGGTGAGCAGGGAACATGGCTGAAGGTGATGGGGTATAAAAAACAGATGCAAATCCCCACCCTGCCCTGTTGACCTGAAGTTCCAGCGGAGGAGTCAGGATAACAGACAAACAAAAAATAAGTAATTTATATCATATGTTAGCTGATCGTTAGAACTGTGAAGAAAAATAAAGCAGGGCTGGGGGATGGGGAGCCAGGTAAGGGGGGCAATTGTCAGGAGAAGGCCTCACTGAGGGGTGACATCGGAGCAGACTTGAGGAAGGAGAGGGAGAGTGCAGAATTGAGATAGGTGGAGGAGGAATGAGAATAGCACGTGCAAAGGCCCTGGGGCCGAGTGGGCCTGGAGGAGCCTTTAAGGGTGGCTGGAGCAGAGTGAACAGGGGAGCAGTGGTAGAGGGAGCAGGGCCAGGTCATGTGGGGCCTTGTAGACCAACCTAAGGCCTTTGGCTTCCACTCTGAGAGAGCTGAGAGGCAGAGGGGTTCTGAGCAGAGGGGGGACAGGATCCAGCTTAGGTTGTAAGAGGATGCCTCTGGTGCTGGATCGAGGACAGACAAGGGTGGAGGGAGGGAGTCGTGATAATCTGGGCCTGGTGGAGGTAGGTGTGGTGAGAAGGGTCAGATCCTGGATAGATTTAGGAGTAGAACTGAAAGGATTTGCTTGTGGTTTGGATGTGAGCTGGAGAGAAAGAGGAATCAAGGATGCCGCCAGAAGTTTCCAGCCCGAGCGATTGGAAGGGTATTTTGGTCGTTTCCAATTTTATGCTTTTACAGTGTTGTGATAAATATTCCTTCACGTCTTCTTTCCTGTCTAGAAAATCTTAAAGGAAATGTTTCCCATCGAGGCGGGGGACATCAACCCAGAGAACAGGATCATCCCCCACCTGCCAGGTGAGGAGCGGGCTCTGTCACCGGTCCGGTCACCTGTCTGGCTCCCCTCCCTGCCCTCCAGGTTGCCCCCTGACCCCCCGTTGGACTTGACCTCTTCCATGTGCTCACTGAGTCTCTGGTGCCCCTCTGGGTCCGGCCAGCCCCACGCTGGTTTGACAGGCAGCGGGCCGCCGAGAACCGCCAGGGCACGCTCACCGAGTACTGCAGTGCGCTCATGGGCCTGCCTGTCAAGATCTCCCGCTGCCCCCACCTCCTCGACTTCTTCAGAGTGCGCCCCAGCGACCTCAAGCTCCCCACGGACAGCCAGTGAGTGGCCTCCTTGTCCCACAAGGCGGGAGAGGGAAGCGGGTGGTGAGCCCGGCCTGGAGGGGGTGGGACTTTCCCCATGTTACAGATGAGCAGGCTGAAGCGCAGAGAGGGGCAGGGACTTGCCCAAAGTCACATAGCCAGAAAGAAAAGGAGGCAGGATTCCAACTCTGGCCTGTGTGATCTGGAACCACCCAGTATCCCAGCCATGTCTCCACCTGGACCCCTCTGAGCCTCCTGGGGCTGGGGGAGGCTCACTGGGCTGGGGGAGGCTCACTGGGCTGGAGGTGGACGTCCTGGGCCCTCTTCCTGACGCTGCATCTGCTGGCTGTGGGACCTGGAGCCTTCTGAAAGCAGTGTCCCCATCTGTAATGGGTGGTGAGGGCCAGGTGCAGTAAGGGGTGCCTTGGAGAGCCCTTACAAAGTGTGAAGTGTGGAGCCCCGAGAGGATGTGGGGTGAGTGGTCTCTGTTAATTGCTGGGTGCGTCTCAGGCCCCTCCCTCACTTTTGTCACCTCATTCTCTGCCTGCTTGTGCCCCAGGGTCTCCTAGATTCAGGGCGCTGCCGGGAGGCGTCTGAGAGGCTGGGTGAGATCCCAGCGCAATGTGCTCTCCTGTTGGGGCAGGCTGGGGAAGGCCCTCTCTGTCCCTCTCTGGTCACTGAGTGTGGGGCTGGCATCCAGGCTGCCGTGGACAGACAGACAGCGACGCTCTGGCCAGTGCTTATCGAGCCCTGAACGCTTGCAAGTGTGGGGGCGCAGCTCGCCCCCGTTGGCTGCTCTCTCGAAGCTGCAGAAGAAGGGAGCTGGCCCCTGAGCTGACGGCAGCCTGTCTCAGACCGAGGGCATCGCGTTGTCCGTCTTGGGGAGGACACCTCCTCCTTGGGGTCTGCAGGACGCGGGGCCCCTCTCTGGGGTGCTGAGCAGTCCCCCGTTGTCCAGTTGCTACCTTCTTTCTGCAGTGGGCCATTTCCCACGTCTCTTTTTCTCGTGGGAAGTTCCTCTGTAGGTCTGTCTGGATCTTCCTGTTCTCAGAGGGAAACCGAGCATCCAACCCGACTGTTCTCTTCCACAGGGTGAAAAGGCCAGAGACCTACCTGGTGCCCAGAGATGGCAAGAGTAGCATAGCAGGTGAGAGGGCAGGGCAGCCGCGCGGGTCTGACGTGATCAGAGACCCCGAGGCCTGGTGTGCTGGAACGAGCAGGAAGCGAGAGCAGCTGTGAAGGGTCTTGGTGCTGTTCTCAAGATCTAAAGGGTCTCTGGGGGTCACTGGAGAGGGAAGGGGGCTCCTTGGAGGTGATGGCACGTCCCTCACCTCTGTGGCTGCAGAGCCCAGTGCAGACCCTGGCTCCTGTCAGCCCGGGGGATGCTGTGGCTGAATGAATGAACAGGCTTGGGGGCAAAGGTGGCCTTCAGGGGTGACGCAGGGGCATGACAGTATCTAGTCTTTATTGCACAATAATAATACTACTACCTAACCTTTGTTGAGCACTTGCTCTGTGCCAGGCATTATTTAAAAAGTTTTCTATGTATTAACTCACATAAGTGTCTCTATAATAAGATGAAATAGGTATCCAGTGCTATGACCCCATTGTACAGCTGGACACATCAAGGCTTGTTTTAAGTTGTGACTCTTGTGAGGGGTCACATGGCTGCTAAGTGGTGGAGCAGGGTTTTAGTCAGTGGGTGCCTGGGCGAGTCCTCCGGGCCCCTGAGTGTGGTGCAGGGACCAGCAGCTGAAGTCTGTCGGGCTCCCGTAACAAAGGACCACAGACGGGGCGGCTCAAACAACAGACATTTATTTTCTCACAGCTCTGGAGGCTGGAAGGCCAAGATCAAGGTGTCGGCAGGGTTAGGTTCTCCTTGGCTTGCGATGCCACCTTCTTACTGTGTGCTCAGTCACCTCCTAAAGGCTCTGCTCCAAATATAGGCAGATTCTAAGGTGTTGGGGGTTAGGGCTTCAGCACATGGTTCGGGGGGAGGGAACACAGCTCAGCCCATAGCACGCAGCAGCAGCATCGCTTGGGGGCTGGCTAGAAACACGGACTCAGGTCCCAGCACAGACCTGGGAAGCAGAACCTGCATTTCAGCAAGATCCCCGGGCGCTTTGTGCTCACGTTACACAGTTGGGAGGGGCTGCTCATTAACCTTATCACATGAGAAAGAGAACGTGTGTAAAGTGTGTCAATAGTGTTTGGAACACACTAGGCGCTCCATAAATGCAGGACTGAGAGAACTACCTTGTCTCTGCTGTTTCCAGTTTGCAGGGCATGTCCAACTCTGGCGGGCCTGGAGCTGGGTGGGGACGGGGTGCAGGGCCAGTTCTGGTGGCCCACACAGGGGACAGCAGGGGAGAGCTGGGAGGAGGTGGCCCGCCCCCGCGGTGTCCACTCACCCTGCCCTCCCTCTGCCCAGACATCACGGGCCCCATCATCCTGCAGACCTACCGCGCCATCGCTGACTACGAGAAGACCTCAGGCACTGAGATGGCTCTGGACTCTGGTGACGTGGTGGACGTCGTGGAGAAGAGCGAGAGCGGTCAGCCTCCCCGCCCTGCCTGGGCCCTCCTCGCCTGGTGCCTGGGTCCACGGCCTCAAGCCCCCGACCAAGGCTGCCTCAGGCCTCCTCCCGGCCTGGCCCACTGTGGGCTCTGTGTCCTTCAGGGGCCCTGACTGTCCCCCCACACTGCAGTTCACCCCCTCTCCGAGTGTGCACCCCGGGGTGGCTGTGGGTACCCACACTTATTCATCCTGTGACTTCGCGTCTCTGGGGTTGTGCTTCTCTTCCTCATGACGTGTGTGACGTGGGCTCAGAACTGTAATTCTGTGACCGTGTGACCACGGCCATGGGCCGTGGTGTGGAGTGGGGGAAGGGGACATTTCTGAACCCTTGTGTTGGAAGTCTGTGTGTCTGCCTGAGTGTGCTTACCACCCCCGACAGCTGAGGGCGGCTGACAGGCCCACCCTGACTCCCTGCCCCACACCCTGGCACAGGCTGGTGGTTCTGCCAAATGAAGACAAAGCGTGGCTGGGTCCCGGCGTCCTACTTGGAGCCCCTGGACAGTCCTGATGAGGCAGAGGACCCGGAGCCCAACTATGCAGGTGCCCTGCCCTCCACGGCCGCAGGGGTGTTGGGGAGGGGCAGAAGGGGCCTGGGGACACTGAGAAGCCAGCAGTGACTGCTTTGGGGTGGGCTATGATTATTGGGCTGGGCAGAGGGGCTGAGACCCCAGTAGGAGGTGGTGCCTTTGGTCAGGACAGGGAACCAGGAGGTAGAGTAGAGGTGGGGGGGGGACGGAGTCAGCCTGGGACATGGGTGGCTGTTGGCCTGGGGCCAGGTCTTCAGCAGGAAGCTGAAGGATGAGCAGACCTGAGGCTCAGGAAGGAGGGCTGCGTAGAGCTGGGGGCGTCATCGCTGACTAGAAGGGGAAAGCTGGCAGCCCTGGGGCTGGATAGGGGTCATGTGCAGTTTGAAAAAATTAGAATTAATTGCTTATATTTTAAAATGGAGAGATTTCACAATTTTATGTGGATTTATGGCTCCTCTTTAAAAACTGGAGAAAGTGTGTAGCCCCACGTGCCAAGAGCTGGCTGGAGCCCAGTGGCTCAGGTACCATGTGGACAGGTGCCCCTCCCCACCCTGCCACTTCCTGGCCATCCACTTCTCCTATTTAGGTGCCTGGCCGGGTCTCTGTGGTCACAGGACTCCTGGCCCCTGGTGTGGAGAGTGGTGGGTGGGAGTGGGCAAGCTCACCTGAGTCCAGTGGGCAGAGGGCAGAAGTCCGGGGTGTCCCCTTCAGAGGGAACCCAGGAAGGAGCAGGCAGGGAGGAGGGAGGACAGCTAGAGGAGTGGGAGTCCTGGGTTCCGGGTGGGTCTAGGCCAGCCGAGAGGGGGGTGGTGAGCCCCACGTGGACAGACCCTCACACCATGCCCCTCCCCTCACCGCTGACCAGGTGAGCCCTATGTCGCCATCAAGGCCTACACTGCCGCGCTGGAGGATGAGGTGTCCCTGGAGGAGGGTGAAGCCATTGAGGTCATTCATAAGCTCCTGGACGGCTGGTGGGTCATCAGGTAGGAGAGCACCCCTCCCTCCCACTGTGCCCACCCTGAGAGCCAGCCCTGGCCTGGGGCAGGGCCTGTTTGGGCTCAGTGCTGACTTGGCTGTGTGACTCTGGGCAACCCACTGCCCCTCTCTGGGCTGTTTCCATTTTGGTAGCAGACAAGTGATAATCTCACCCTGCCTATCTCTTGGGGTTCAGTGTCTCTGTCTGAGTGGGTACATTTTTCCTTTGACTTGGGGTCACTTCCCCTGACTGGTCCATCTAGTATTCCTGTTCCAGCAACACAATTAATTGTTGTATTATTATCTTTGATAACTGGTAGAGCAGACCCCGTCATCTCTTTTCCTTTAAAATTTTCATTGCGCTTGCCATGTGTTTATTCCTCCAAATGAATGTAGGGATACTAATTTCTTCCCCCCTGGTTCTGGGGAAAGCAGAAGCCCAGGGGCTCGCAAAGCCATTTCTTTGGAGCCACTGGGCATCCCCAGGTTGTCGTTTATGTTTTCAGAGCCCTGAGTCACAGGGCCAGCCCATGACCCCAGTGAGCTTGAGCCCCCACGCCCACGGTCAGCAGGGCCCTGGGTTCGAGGCTTTGAGGCAGGGTTTCCCAGTCTTCTAGACCCACACTCTGTTAAGCCCCATCACACAGCCCTGAGAATTCTTGAGTCTCCCACCTGCCAAGAATCAAGAGTTTTACTGAGTGAAGTTTGCATCACGCAGAGGTTGTTGTTGATTTTACTCCCAAGTGTAGTACTGAGAGTGGAAAGAAAACTCTTTTCAATAAATGGTGCTGGAACAGCTGGATATCCATATGCAAAAAACGAACCTAGACCCTACCTCCCACATACACATTTATTTGAGATGGATCACAGGTTTTACTGCCAAACACAAAACTCCCCAAAAGAAGCTTTTGGAAGAAAGCATAGGAGAACTTGGTGACTTCGAGGTAGACAAAGGTTTCTTAGGGCACAAAAAGCAATCACCATAAAAGAAAAAACCGACAAATACAGTATAACATGTTTTACTGCAAACACATGTCCCTGGGATGATTTGGATCGACCTTCTTCCCCTCCCAACGTCCCCCCTGGGAAGGCCTGTGTTGCACAGATAAGGAAACTGAGGTCCAGAGGCACAGGGGCTGGTGTTAGCCGCCTCCCAGCCTGCCTTGACCCCAGCTGTTTAGAGGAAGCACGGGACCCCCAACGTCTGGCCCCCCCCCCCACCCCTGCTTCCCGCGACCGCCCAGGCCTGAGGGCTGCGTCTGTTGCAGGAGAGGAGACGTCACAGGCTACTTCCCGTCCATGTACCTGCAGAAGGCCGGGCAGGACCTCGCCCAGGCCCAGCGCCAGATCAAGAGCCGAGGGGCGCCGCCGCGCAGGTGAGCGAGTGCCGGGGCTGGGGTCTGGGCGCGGCTCAGGAAGATGTCCAAGCCTGGGTTGGCAGTGCTGGGGCAGGGGGGTCCCGCCTGGCGGGGAGGCAGCACCCTCACCGGCTCAAGAGCCGGGCCGCGCCCGCCTGCACCGTGGCGAGCAGCGCCGTGAGCTGGAGGCGAAGGCCGCGATGCTAGGGTCCTCGAGAATGGCCGTGAGGGCCGTGGCACTCCGGAGGGCTTCCTGGCGAGGGCGCAGGCTGAAGGCCGGCGAGGGGCGTGGGAAATGGCCTGGGCTCTGCGGCAGAGCAGGCGTCCGCGTCGGGGAAGGGCAGCTGCATTCCTGCCCCGCCCAGGCCGTGCCGGACCCCCTCCCCGCCCCCTCCTGCCGCTCCCCACTTTCTCGGGCCAGGCGTTGGACCCTCAGGGTGGCCATGCGAGTCCACGCGGGCAGCGACGCGGGCGCGGCGGGGACGCCGGGGCGCTGACCAATGCCCCCGTCCCGCTGGGCCCAGGTCGTCCATCCGCAACGCGCACAGCATCCACCAGCGGTCGCGGAAGCGCCTCAGCCAGGACACCTACCGGCGCAACAGTGTCCGCTTTCTGCAGCAGCGCCGCCGCCTGGCGCGGCCCGGGCCGCCCGGCGCAGGTAGCCCGCCGCGAGAGTGCCCGCGGGGCCTGGGGGCGTGGCCGGGGCCAGAGGCGGGGCTGAGGGCCCCTGGGGCGGGGCCTCTCACCCGGCCGCGCTGTCTGCCCGCAGCGGAGGAGCCGCCGCAGACCCGACGCGCGAAGCCGCAGCCGGCGGTGCCCCCGAGGCCCAGCGCAGACCTCATCTTAAACCGCTGCAGCGAGAGCACCAAGCGGAAGCTGGCGTCCGCCGTCTGAGGCCGGGTCGCCCCCTCAGAGGGCGACCTGGCTTCTCCGCCCGCTCCCGCCTGATCTTTGTGTATGCTTGTATAGAGCCTGGTGTCTGAACGCCGAGGGCAGCCCAGCCCCGCCCCACCTAGTTGTCCAACGCCTTCAATAAATGTTGCTTGGAGTGGACAGAGGCTCTGCAGAGACTCGGGGCAGGCTGGGCTCCAGCCTTAGGGGTATTTCTAGAATGAGGACTGAAGGCTGTGAACTCTGCTGGGGGGAAGTTGCAGGAAGCGAGGTCCGGTTGCGTACTGCCCTGGCCTTGGCCAAGACCGAATTTGCACAAGGCCAAGTGCAAGAGGAACCTCTGGCTCCTGCTGGCCGTTTGTCTGCACAGAAACTGCCTGCTTGAACTCTGGCCCCACTGTAGAAGAGTCCCGAAGAACGGTGGGCACAGGGCGCGGTCAGGGGGATCAGGGCGGTAGTGACCTTGTGTGTGCATCTTAGTTGACAAAAAGATTGCAATTTAGGTATAGGGAGGGGGCGCGTCTGATTATTCGCTGAGAACCTGTCCAGTTAGGAGGGTGTACCAGAAAGCAAATATTCACTGATGAACACATCCTCACCACTTACCCCAGCACTGCTGCCAGCCCATATCCTCAAAGTCTTTGCTGGCGGGTCTTTCGCCAAATGCAAAGACACTAAGATGCAAACCGCAACTGCAAATCTTGCAAAGATGCAGTATGTCACAAAGGCCGTGGGTGGCAAGGAGAGCTGTTCCCTCCTAGGAGAGAAGTGGCTACATGAGATGGGCAAGGCTGGTCCCCTTAGAGATAAGAGAAAACCAGCAAGGAGACAGATGCTTCTCAGGAGGATACTTTGCCCATCAAAGGATTGAGAGAGGCCTCGAGATAACCACTGTGCCGTTAACGGTTTGCTTTTTGCAGACCGCGTTTGCTGGAAGAGTCCAGCAACAAGGACTGTCATACAAAGCTGTGAAAAATTAACCATGACAACCACAACTCCTTTGCTTGTTCAGTTGCAATTATAACAAAAAAATTAAATACAGTATGATAAAATACTTATTTTCATAATTTTTAGTTTTATATTTTTCAAGCTCAAGTCCCGATCAAACGTTTTCCTCACGTTTTTTCCGTATTTCTTGTCCCCTGCAGGTGGCCTTGTGCCAGCCCCACTGTCACAGGCTAACGTGGAGGCCCTGGTGGCGGGTGGTGGGTGCGCCTGAGGTCAGGAGGGCACGCCTGCAGGCCTCTGCCGTGCCCCCAGGAGGGCACGCCTGTGGGCGCCTGGTCTGAGTTTCGGCTGCAGTGTGTGTGCAGCCAGTTCTCCTGAGGCCAAACACAGTGCCGGGCTCCTCACAGCATCTGCAGGTCTGAGAACCACCCTGTCAGGGAGGCATCTGACCGTCTGGGAGACAAGGCTCAGGACGCGCAGGTGGCGGAACTGGGAGGTGGAGCCAGGCTTTGCTCTCTGATTCCAAGGCCCTGCTGGACCCACTGCGGTATCCGGACCCACAGAGCTGAGATCTGGCGGTGGGTGCCACGGCTGAGGGACACTCACAAGACGGGGTGTGACGTGGGCTCGTCCTCCAGGGCCCGCGGCAGCCCCTTGCCCCTGGGGCCTGTGCTTGCAGGAGTGACCAGCTTTTCCCTCCCTCCCTCCAGCAGCCTCCCTCCATTTTTCTCACAGCCTTCTTCTCCACTGCTTCCTGAAGGGGTCACAGGTCAGGAGCCTCAGCCTTTCTGCACCCTAGTCAGATTAATTCCCCCCAATCCGGGAAGTATTCACAATTTTGGGTCACTAATTCCAGTGATAATAAAGATTAAGAACACAGATAGATGTATGTGCCTTCAAATGACAGTCCTCCCGGGGGAAAGGCTATAAAGGCAAGGAGGTTATTGGGCTGACTGACAGAGCTGGAGTGTGAGTGCTAACTAGATGCAAGAATGGCGTCCGTGTCTGATGTACTAAGGTTGGTCACTAAATCGTGGTTATCTCTATTCTTAGAAAATACTGTCCAAAGTATTTAGGGGTAAACGATGTATGCAAGTTTGCCTCACATGGTTCAGAAAAAAGTATGATGCACAACACTTATACACACATTACAGATATTCACACACATTCATTTATACACACTGATAGGCAATGCTGCACACACCACACACACACACACGAAAGAGGTGGGGAGGAAAAGCAAACACATGATAAAACATAGGGGTAAAATGTTAAATGAGAATCTGCCAAAAGGGCACGTAAGTGTTCTTCATACTATTTTCATTTCTGCAACTCTTCTATAAATTTGAAATTATTTCAAAATAAAGCTAAAAAGAAAATGATAACCCCCAAACCTCAACTTACTTTGCCTTAGAAAGCCTATGTTATTTGTTTTGGGGTTTTCCATGTTAAGTCCTGCCTTTCTGGGTTTGTGGAGGCAGAGACAGACAATACAGGAATCCTACAGGATGTGAATACGTCTCCAGCTGAGTCTCCTTCAACTGGGAAACATGTTAGACCACATGGGATACCGTGCAAAATGAGAGGTGATGAATGTGTGTGCATATATACCCCTCAACGGATATACACACTTGTCTATTTCTCTCTATTTCTCTGTTGATTGATTTAAACGTTGAGATGGCAGCCCCAGTGCCTACAGGGGTCAAGCAAGTATATGAATGAGCGAAACAGGCCGGGCATAAGAACAGTCAACTTTCTCGATTTTTACTGGACTATGGTGAAGCATAAAATGTCATACAAACAGGTATGATACTGCAAATTATATTTCCAAGTCAGAGTGGAAAAAAGTGAAAAACAGAAATATTTAATAATTCATTTTCTCATCTCACAATCCCTTGGGCTTAGAGGATTCTAGTCTTACGCTCCACAGGGCATTGCCGTTAGTGTGTTCTTCATCATGTTGTGATGCGGAGTACGGAATCCCACTGTGAATCCTTTAACTGGGAGCAGAATTTGGTTTTACTCAGTTTCATAATGGAAAACAGCTGTTCACAAATGTAGGTGCTCCCGAACATGGAGAGAATCTTCGCACAGTGGGTTTTATATTTTGGGTAGCTACTCCAGAGGTATTTGTAGAACTCCGGTATCCCCACCTTGTCGTATTTGGTCTTCAGTACCGAGTTGCACTGCAGATCAATAAGCTCCATCTGAAGCGTCTCGTGCACGCTCTCGATATTCATGGAGAAGGGGGAGCTGAACAAGGTTAGTTCGCTTTCATAGAGTTTGAAATCAGACAACCTTTTCTGGAATTCAGTCTTTAATTCCACAATTTTGGGAATGTAGTTCAGGCCATCGCTTTCATTTCTGGAAACCGATTTCAGGGTGGGAAAGTGGGCCAGATTATTCCTTGCCAAATGAGTTTCCCAAAGACACAGTTTTGCCAGGAACGCCCGAATCAAGTCGTACATCTGCGTGACGATTTGTGAATGCCCTTGGAGAGAGACATTCAGAGTGTTCAGGTGCATCGTCATATCGACCAAGAAGGCCAAGTCTTTGATCCAATCTTGAGAGCTCAGTTGAGGCAGAGGCTTTCCTCTGGATGACATGAAGGAATCAATTTCTTCCAAGGACTCAAAAAATCTCTTCAGCACCAGCCCCCGACTGAGCCATTTTATCTCTGTGGAGTACAGAAGGCTGCCATATTGGCTGTCCAGTTCATAAAGCAGAGTCGTAAACTCACTGTGATTCAGTCCACGGGAGCATATCCAGTTCACAGAGTTAACGACCACATTCATGACGTGGTCCATCTTTAACTTTTGAGCACAAAGCGATTCTGGGTGAATAATGCAACAAATGGACTTCAGATCTGAGCCCTTGCAAACCACTGCCACTTTGGACTTCAGTTTTGTAACAAGTCCGTCGTTTGCATCTACCATCACAGGGGTGCCAGTTGAGGCCACGCTTACTAATTTTGACCAGTCGATATTAAACTTTTTAAGACTTTTCTCAACACGCAAAAATATCTCATTTCCAGATTTTGTACCTGTCATGGGCACCGTATCCAAAAGTTCTTCCGACACATCAAAATTCTCATCGACACCACGGATGAATATGGCCAACTGGGTGGTATTATTTATGTCTGTGATCTCATCAATTGCGATAGAATATGCCACAAAAGATCTGATTTTTTCACGTAACTTCTCCCATAAGTTCCCAGCCACGTCTTCTACAGGCTGCACAGCAGTATTTTCACTTGAACCCACGTTTGCAAACACCTGTTTTTGCTCGGGGGACACAATTTCTGATGAACCCAAGAGATACTTTCTGAGTCCTTTTTTCAGCTCGTGAAGCTTCTCATCACGCATCTGCTCAGTATACTGGTCATAGTGCTTACTGTGGTTGGTTTGATAGTGGCGTCTTAGGTTGTATTCTTTTGACACTGACATGCTCTGTTTGCATATTAAACAGGTAGGAATATTCTGCACTTCCACAAAGAAATATGCTCTCTCCCACTTCTCTTGAAATACACGGCCCTCTTGGTCTATCTTTCGTTTTCCCACTTTTGATAGAGACATGGAGACAAGAAATATTTCACTGTTCTCTTAACTCTACTATTAGAAAAACAACAGCAAAAGCATGATGATGAACGGGAGAGATAAAGTGGCAGGGGATATGGTTAGCTGGAGAGTAACCCCCTGCCCCTTGCCCCGCCCCCTGCAGAGAGGAACCGCTGACACTCAGTTCCGACAAACTGCTGCCAGAGGGAATATGGGCTGCCGTGGTTGGATCTTCAGATTTCTAAAAAAAACCTGGAAATTGATTTTATGAGAAAGTCCCTGGCTTTTCAATGTTGGCCACTATGCTAATTTCCGTTTTTAAAAGGTATATGAGCCAAACAAAGGCATCTCTGGGGGGTGCAGCAGGTAGCTATGTCTGCCACATCTGCTATAAACAGGAACGACTTGAGAGTATAGTTACCTTTTTTTTTTTTTAATATTTACATTTTAATGTATATTTTCTCGTTTGATTCTCAAGAGAACTTTCAAATAACAGAGAAGGGAATGAGCATAGGAGGTGGATGGTTTCCTGCTGTCCTCATGGCGGTCAGTGGTGATGGCCGCAGACCTGCACAGAGTGACTCGTTTTAAGTTGGAAGAACCTGGCCACAGTGCAGGTAAGCTTTAATTCAAGAAAACACAGATATGAAAATTCACTTGAAGAAAATGTAGGCAGAGACAGAAAGTCAATTTCGTGGTTGCCTGGGGCTCAGGGTCAGGAACAGGAAATGACTGAAAACGGGTAGGAAGAATTTTTTGGGGGTGAAGGAAATGTTATAATATTAGATTGTGGTGATAGTTGCAGAACTCGGTAAATTTACTAAAAATCATTGAACTGTGTACACTCTACACAAGTGAATTTCCTGGTATGTAAATTATGCCTCAATAAAGCTATTAAAAATGTAAAAAAATCATTTAGCAACAAGGAATAGCTGAGCATTTGACAAGAATACTTTAGTTTTCAAACTTTAAATTAGGAGGTTCCCTAGTGACTCAGACTGCTGAGAACACCTCTCCACCTGCTGCCCTACCTGCCCCACGGCAGAGGCACTTCTCACCAGGACTCAGGGGAGATGTTCCAAATGGTTAACAAGCAGAGTGGCTGGGGCATTGCTCAGTCAGAGCAGATGTCAACCTCAGCACTGAGGGCTGGGGTTCTGGGAGCCCTGCTGTCCCAGGCATCACCCACTTTGGGTCTGAACTGTGGGGAGTTCAGGGATGGGGGGCTTTAGGGGGTGGGGCTGGGGTGGCCAGGCCGGCACTATTTACCAACTGAGACGGTGTAGTTCAGTATTATATGAACCCCTGCCATAAAGGACTCTCAAATAAGACGGAGCTGCGTCACAGAGCACACGCACAGTCTGACATAGAGCAAGCGCCATCAAACTGCTGGAGGAGAAAACTGCCTGGCTAAAGAGGCTCAAGCCACAGAATTAAAGGACTTGGTAACAAGCAGGAAAAATAAAATGCATAGAAAGAGCAGCATGCTTTGTTCTAAGGCTCAAGGCTCAAGAAGTAAGGACCCCGTAGTGAGCGCCCACCGAGATATTTCACACCGCACGAAGGGTGCTGGAACCATCTTCTCACCACCCAGCATACTCACCATTGCTAAGCTCAAGGCCTGGAAGCGGTCTGAAGAGAAAGAGACATTGGTGAATGCAACAGAGTTCACTTTCCTCTCTTGTCCTCTCAGTTCTATCTGATAACCTTTTGTGAATGTCAACTCTATGCTCGGTGCAGTGGCAGATAAAACTGAGACAGGCTGCCCACGATCACGGAGAAACAGGAACACGGACACAGCTCACGGAAGCGGAATACGACAACATGAGTATGAAGACAGCTTGGCACAGCAGTTGACTGCAGGGACCCACTGCCCACCCCCTGGGGTAAAAATCCCTGTGCTGCCACTTGTCCACAGGGCAAGTGAAGATCTGCAGATCCACTCTCAGGACCAAGAAGGTTATGAGACCTTCTAATGACCTTTATACCTGTGATCTCACCTAATGACTGTGAACTTGATAAATTCTGCCGCATCCAAGATCCTTCGCATGGAGCTGATTTCCAGGTAACCGGGGGCTTTGAAGACCACCCCTGGGGGCATGCCATCGATGACCACACAGCCAGGGTTGAATGTGATTTTCCTGTAGGGAACTTTCACGGGGAAATCCACTCCAATTGCTTCACCTGCGATGAGACGAACAGCAAAAAACCAGTTGAGTTTGTCACTTACTTTTCCCAAACCATGCTTTATCTTTAATGTCAAGATTTTAAAATCATTCACATCAAATGACAACATGGGTGATCAGCCATTGTTACCTTATTTGCCAGTGGTACTATGATGTATGAATAATTTTATTGATTTTGAAATTGGCAATGGGTAGTAGAGCAGACTCAGTTTCTCTATCTATTAAATAGGGATTATCATAGCACAGTATCTAACTGAAAAAGGTTTTTCTGGGGCCAGCCCTGTGGCATAGTGGTTAAGTTTGCACGCTCTGCTTCGGTGGCATGGGGTTCGCAGGTTTGCATCTCTGGTGTGGACCTATACAGCGCTCATCAAGCCATGCTGTGGTGGCGTCCCACATACAAAATAGAGGAAGATGGGCATGGATGTTAGCACAGGGCTGATCTTCCTCAGCAAAAAGAGGAAGATTGGCAACAGATGTTAGCTCATGGCCAATCTTCCTCACCAGAGGAAAAAAAAAAAAAAGGGTTTGGTGAGGATTAAATGAATAATCACATGTTGAGCACTAAAAACAATGCTTAGGGTGAGAACTTAGTAAGTCAAAGAGAGCTATTATTATTTTTATTCATTTTTATTTTTTTAATTGAGATATAGTTGACACATAAGGTTGTATTAGTTTTAGGTGTGCAACATAATGATTTGATAAAGATAGCTGTTACTGTAATTAGTGTTTCCATGTAAAAACTCTTCCATAAAAATAAACACTAATTTTCATCATAGCTCCTCACAGAAAGACAATTTCTTAGATAAAGTATCCAATTAAAAAGAAGCATTTCAAGTATATGAATTTTGGATACGTAGCAATATAAAAACTTACCAAATTTTCGACTAAAGAGGTCATTGACTTGTTCTCTTAGTTGCTTTATCTTTTCAATACTTGATAATCTTTCCTTCTCATTATCTAAAAATAATTAAACAAACAAGCAAACTAGGGTTGTTAATGTATTTGCCCCCAAGAAAGGAGGAAATGCCTGTTAGCACATGAGAAAGCACTTTACTGGCTTATCAGTCAGTTTAGTTTTAGCAATAATTATGTGTTTTGGAAATTTGTAAATGGAAACCACTATAGATGATAGAGAATATTCCAAATTATGACTCTGTGTAAACACACTACATACTACTTTTGGGAACATTTCCGATATCGTGCAAGACAAGGATATCCACTTTCACCAGCTCTCTTCAACATTGTAATAGAAATCCTGGCCAGTAAAATATCACAAGTGAAAGGAATAAGAGGTACTAGGATTAGAAGGGAATATTTTTCAATATTTAAATTTTTTATTCTATTTAATTTTGAATAACTAAAGCAATTATGTGGTTCAAAATTTAAGAGAGATGAAACAGTACACAGTGAAATGTCTTTCTCCCATCCCTATCTTAGCTCTCTGTTTCCTTCCCTGGAGGAACCACGTTATCAGATTCTTTTGTATCTCTTCAGATATATTTTACATACACATATTCAGAAAAGAAGATTACCTGATGGGCCGCAAGTAAATTCTACCTCAGTGTTCAATTCCAATTCAACGGTAGCTCCTGCTTGGTGTTGCCTGCCCTGAGGTGGATTTTCCTGGTAATGCCTGGGCAAGGCAGCGAGAAGCAACACGTCTGCCTAACAATGTCTGATATAAGCAAGATATTCGGTGTGCAGCAACCTGTAGCATATTTATATTCCTGAACTGTCATTCCTTAGTTGACAGGGTGAAGTAAGCAACAAAATAACACCTCCAAGAGATTAACCCATGTCATGAAATGGTTAAAATACAACAACGAAAAATATAAAATTGAATGAAAAAATATGTTATGATATATAAATTATATAATATATAAAAATAAATTTTGATGTAGCCAGATAAACTTCCCTACCTGGGACTGTCACCTGAATGACGTTGAGCTCCTCAACACCTGCTGCAGAATTTGTAACGCTGGGTGAATCTGTGTTTCCTTAAAGCAGAAGTCGAAATTTAGAATTAACAGGGATGAGGTCAATTCTCCTCTAAAAATGTCAAGGTGCCATTTTGATCAGAAGCCTAGAATGAATTGTTAACAATTCAGAGAACAACTGAGCTGCAGGGTAACGAGGTGGCTCGGCATGAACCGATGCCTGAGTCTCTGCAGTCTAATGCTGATGTCTGGGGGCTGAGGGCACAGCGGCTTTCATTTATTCTTAGCCCTAATACTTCAGTCGGTCCAATCTGATTTAAAAACAAGGGTGTTAAAAAGTATATTTCCGGGCCGGCCCTGTGGCTTAGCGGTTAACTGCGCGCACTCCGCTGCTGGCGGCCCGGGTTCAGATCCCGGGCGCACACTGACGCACTGCTTCTCCGGCCATGCTGAGGCCGCGTCCCACATACAGCAACTAGAAGGATGTGCAGCTATGACATACAACTATCTACTGGGGCTTTGGGGGAAAAAAAAAATAAATAAAATCTTAAAAAAAAAAAAAAGTATATTTCCTTTGTTGTTATTCTCAGTTTAAAGCGGGGAAAAGAAAATAGGACATGTAAATGTGTTCCAGAGGCCATCTGAGAGGCAGACATTGTGTGAAAAATGAGTGAACAGACAGGGTTAAACAGTAAAAGCAGAGTTGACGCTATCATGTTTTCTGGTCAAGTGATAAACACAATGTTCACTTCAGTTCTGTGTGAGAAATATAAACAGCCTGTCCAGAGGCCAGCCCAGTAGTGTAGTGGTCAAGTTTGTGCGTTCCGCTTTGGCGGCCAGGGGTTCGCAGGTTCGGATCCCGGGCGTGGACCTACACACCACTTATCAAGCCATGCCGTGGCGGCATCCCACATAAAGTAGAGGAAGACGGGCACGGATGTTAGCCCAGGGCCAATCTTCCTCAGCAAAAGAAAAACAAAACAAAACAAAAAAACCCACAACAGCCTGTCCAGTCCTTTCTGAGGAACTCAAGGCTCAGTCTATGTGTTCTGTGACTCAATCATTTTGCATCTAAAGAGCAAGACCTCAAAGGGACAGAAAGCGATATCGTCAACAAATGCCCTCGGGTTTTTCTGCAGTGTCCTGTGCTGCTTCAAACACAGAATTTTTGGAGGAAATGTGGGAAAATTTGCTGCTCTTGACCTCAAAATTACTTATTTTTCTGATTAAATCTAATAAATCCTGCAAGGTCTGATCCTTAACAATCAGGCTCAACATTACCGTGAGGTTCCATCACCACCTTGAAATAAGAAAAATCTTCCAGGGCACTGAACCCTGCTGAGCCTCCAACAACCCCGAACAATGCAGGTCATCAGAGTCAGTTAAGAGACGGTGACAGGAGAGAGGGAGTCAGGGTCTGATCAAGTGCTGCTGTTTCAGCATTAAAACTGACTCAGGGGCCGGCCCCGTGGCTTAGCGGTTAAGTGTGTGCGCTCCGCTACTGGCGGTCGGGTTTGGATCCTAGGCGCGCACTGACGCACCCCTTCTCCGGCCATGCTGAGGTGGCGTCCCACATACAGCAACTAGAAGGATGTGCAGCTATGACATACAACTATCTACTGGGGCTTTGGGGGAAAAAAGGAGGAGGATTGGCAATAGATGTTAGCTCAGAGCTGGTCTTCCTCAGCAAAAAGAGGAGGATTAGCACGGATGTTAGCTCAGGGCTGATCTTCCTCACAAAAACAAAAAAACAAAAAAAAACTGGCTCCTTAAAATACAAAAATCTGTCACAGAACACACCAAGCACAATTTAAAAATTCATCAAAATCCAACTATAATTAATGCATAAGTTGGCAGTTAATCCATTTTAATGACCCTGCACATTTCAAATAAATGGATGGCCTTTGCACTAATGGGTCTGAGTCCTAACTCCTCTAACATGGTTCCTTTACATAAACAATAACTCTTTCTCAGTTGACTGACCAATTATCGCCTAAGTTGGTTTCAAACTGCTCCTCTGGCTCCATGAGGAGCAGAGCTGTCATCACACTGCTTCCGACAGAGGACAAGAACCCACCCACAGGTGGACTTCCAAGTGCTTCTGTCCTTTGCACACCTGCTAGTGGCAAAAATATTTACCAAATAATTTATGGCTAATTTTTTGAAAAACTACTATCCAGGACAGAAGGGGATGAGGCCTACCTGCCCCATACAATCACAATACCCCACAAGACAACAGCACAGCATAGAGGCCACTTGGGAAACATTTTCTATCGATCAGCATTCAAATCACTGCTGGACTTTGATTCTAATGTGGGACTTTTCTCTTTATATTCTTAAAAGTACTTTAAGGCAACAACCCAAACGTCCATCAATGAAAGAATGGATAGACTCTGATTTATACACACAATGGAATATTATTCAGCCTTTAAAAAGCATATTCTGACATATGCTGCAACACGGATGACCCCAGAAGACTTTAAGTGAAAGAAGCCAGACACAAAAGGTCACATATTAATTCCATCTATAGAAATATGTAGAACAGGTCAATTCACAGAGTCAGAAAGTAGATTGGTGGTTGTAAGGGGCTAATGGAGTGGGAGTGGGGAACGGGGAGGAGCTGCTTAATGGGTATGCGGTCTTCCTTCCGGGAGACGAAATGTTTTGGAACCACATGGAGGTGGTGGTTGCACAACACTGAATGCACTCAATGCCACTGAATTGTTCACTCCAAATGGTTAATTTTACGTTGCGTTAATTTCACCTCAATAAAAAAATGTTTTAAGTAATTTAAGGCTTTCCTTTTGTGGAATTTTAAGGAAAAACAATTTCAGTGTATGGCTCAGAATGGTGGTACCTGATGCCACACTGAGGTCTTATGATGACTTTGCAACTGGGCCATATAAATATCATGTTTTATCCATAAACATACACTCAGGCCCCACTGACTTCAGGTACAGATGAATCAGCATAAACCCATCCTTGCTAATGGACAATCCATCTGAAAACACATGCCCTCCTGGCTGTGGGTGAGGGACACCGTCCTGGACAGGAAGCATCTCCTCTGTGCTCAGTTACCCTGACTGCATTGCCATGTAATCTCCAGGAGAGCCGTCAGGGCTAAGACGCCCAAGCAAGGCTGTCCATGTGCACAGACTCCATTGCTACTCCCCTTCCTACTTGAGTAATATACGAGCACTGTGGAGAACGAGAGAAACAGCAGAAGACATGAGGAAGAAAGGTAGAACCAAGCGTGATTCCACCACTGTTAGTAGTTTCTTTCTTTGTATTTTCTTCTATGTTTTTCTTTCTATATAATAATTTTTCTAATCAAAATTGAGATGCTACTGTAAATTATCATTTTTTTTGGTGCCCCTCTGTCTTGTTTATAACTTGTCTTGAGCCACACAATTTTGTTGTTCACTGAACATACCGAGAGCATTTTTCCAAATGGATCACCACGACCCATTCTAACTGTTGGGCACTGAAATTATATCCATTTCTTCTCTGTTATAAATGGTGATGAGAGAGGTTTTTTTCCCCCCTAAAAGTAAATCAACTTGATGAAACCCTTTTTAGGATTCAAATAAATGAAGTACAAATGGAAGAATCAAATCAGGAAACATTCATTAAACCTCAAAATTCCCCAAAGCATGGCAAAATCAGTTCAGACCCCGTGATGTTTCATGGGAAATAATATCATCTCTCAATAAAAAGAACTCACTCAGAAAAAAAAAAGGTAAATACAACTTCAAAGAGATGTTTATTTTAAAAGCATAATTTGTATAGTTGATACACTTCTATCCAAACACTACTGTCTTCTTAAGTCATGTTTCTGATGGAAAAATGATAAAATTGCAATTTTTAATGTTATTTTATAATTCAGATTTTACTAATTCAAAATCACATCTGTTCAGGTGAGTGAGATTTTATGAAATGCTAGGATAGAATTATATACCTAATGACATTAACTCTGAGACCTCATAACATTATTAAATATATAAAATAAAAGAACTTCTCATATTAGGAAGACTATGGATCAGCTCATATTCCAGTAGCAGAGAGAAAAATACTTTTTAGCAGATTACTAACTGGCTCACAACGAAAGAAAACAGGCACATTCTTTTAACCAAATGGCCTGAAAATCCCAATTCCAGGATAAATGGTCTCATTTATTTCCCTGAAAAATCAAAAATGTTTCCAAAAAAACCTTTTAATTATAAGGAGTATCTTAGAATATGTTTATAACTATTGGATGCAGGGGTTTTTAAACAAACACACGAACAAAGAAATCAAACGTCAGTTTGAAAGCATTTTAAAGAAAATAAATCTTACATAGCAGATCTTAAAAAACAAATCTTGATTAAATCACACTTTGAACTTCGCTTCCTTTAGATATTTGCACTTACACTGAGTTCACTGATTGCAGGACTACCGGTTGTTATTTTTGAACCCTACCACACCGAGGAGGAGAGGGGCCGTGTTTCTGGGTGAACAGCCTTTTCCTCCGCCTCCTCCCCCAGCTTCAGGCTTTCCTCACCGGGACAGAGCACACTTTGGTCCCACGGCGGGGGGCCAGTGCTAATCTGCATGGCCTAATTCTGTGTTTGACAACCTTGGGCACTGGGTACTTGATGGGAATACGAGCAGCTGCGGTCATACACACACACGTATCCATTTCAATCTTCTCCCCACAATAATGCTTTAAGAAGGAATGAAAACCATACTTAGCGGTGTGACTGTGACGAGGCTTGGGACTAACCTTCAATTTTCACCTCAGCTTCCGGGTCCTCACTCATTTCTGGAGGGAGAAGCTGAGTAGAATCTTGAAAAAAAATTTCTAAAATGACATTCATTATTATGTATTCTCATGTTCCCATATTTTACTGTTCCTATACCAAAAAAGTAGCTTATCCTGGCATGTTAAATACATTTCATACTTAATAAACATAAAGATAATTTTAATTTTAAAAGGGATAATTGGGGTAATAAAGGATAATCTTATAAGGGATAAGGGGAGATAAGAAACTTTCAGACATTATCAAATAATATGGAGTTACCCACATGAACGGACACAGAATATCCTTCTATTTGAACTAATGGAATTCATATGGTCAGAGTGTTTTCTTGTTCTCATCAGGAATTACTAGGATAAAACAAGCCATTTGCTTTGGTTAACAGTTCCCCTCTCATCCAGCCAACAGCCCCTGGGTGATTCACAGTCTGTTAATACAAGGAAGCACAATCGGTCTTTCTGGCAGACAAGAATATACATTAAGTTCTTATACATACAGACAAAAGCCTGACCAGATTATCTAACCTAACTCTGGCTCATTTTAGAAAGATGTGCCAAAGCTTACATTAATTGTTAGTAAAGGAAGAAAGACTAGAACTCAAAACTAACTTTTGAGTTGTTTTGATAGCGTACTATCATTACATAAGAGGTAACCCCTGAAGACACACTGGACCTCTCTGTACTATTCATGCAGCTTCTTGTGAATCTCCAATTATTTCAAAATAAACAGTTAAAAAAACTAATTCAGCTCTGTCGTAAATGGACTTTCTACTATACTGTGATATTAAAAATCTCTTCAGAAATTAAGTATTTCAGAGGCTAACATCCAACGAAATCTTCCTGACTCTCACTCAACACCAATTCTACCACTGACCACTATGTAGGTTTTCTTCTTTCTAAATATGTTCTGTCTATGCAAAAAATGGCCACACAATATCTTAAGAGGCTTTAAACAAAGGGAAGTAAAATAATGTGAGGAAAGAACAGATTTCAACTGAATTAGAACTAACTGTCCTCCCCCACATCCAGAGAAGGTCAGAAATTGCACTGAAGAAAAAGGAAAAAAAACACGAAACATAAATGGAAGAATGTTGTCACAATCCACAACATGGATGAACCTGAGGACACCATGCTGACTGACATAAGCCATCTTACAAATACTGTATGATTCCACTTATATGAGGGACCTAGAATAGTCAAATTCATAGAGACAGATAGGAGGCTGCTGGCGGGGGGTGGGGCGTGGTTTAATGGGGATAGATCTGCAAGATGAAAAAGTTCTGGAGATCTGTGAACTCCAGTTTTCAACAGTGTGAATATACTTGACACTACTGAACTGTACACTTAACAAAGGTTAAGATGGTAAATTTTATGTGATGTGCTTTTTACCACAATAAAAAATATATATTTAGGAAAATAAACAGAAGTTAAATAATGACAGAGTCTAACTCAGTTAGACTTCTTAGTCTAACTCAGTTAAGTTCAAGACGATTAATCTTATGAGTGAATGAACAATTCTAAAATTAGACTCTATCGTAGTATGTTCTCTGGCAAAATCTATCAAAATTCTTTTAGCTCAGAGAATTGGACAAATTGCTCAGGGGGCCGTTGCAACCGTCCTCCACAATAAAGAACTCCAGACCCCCCAAATGAGAGAAGCTATTACAAATGACCGTAAATCAGTCCTTTGGAGAACGCTTTTGACTTAGAGAAAAATAAAAATCATTTTGGTACTAAGACAGATATACAACTCCTAACAGCAAGATCCATCTTGCCTATAAACTGACAAAGACATTCCATGCCTCTATGTTTGGAGAGGAAATTTCCTTTATTAACTTTACCTTGGACACGTATGAACCACTTTAACAGTTCAGGCCTTAAATATGATGCTCAAGATTTATATATGAATGGAGGGAAATATTATCAAATTTTACTTCTTCTTTTTTAAATTTTTTTGTGAGGAAGACTGGCTCTGAGCTAACAACCATTGCCAATCCTCCTCTCTCTTTTTTTTGCTAAGGAAGATTAGCTCAGAGCTAACATCTGAGCTAATCTTCCTTAGCCATCTTCCTCTATTTTGTATATGGGACGCCACCACAGCATGGCTTGATGAGCGGTGCATAGGTCCGCGCCGGGATGTGAATCTTGAATCCCAGCTGCCGAAGCAGAGTGCGCGAACTTAACCGCTATGCCACCGGGCCGGCCCCTCAAATTTTACTTCTAATTCAAGAATTTCCTAAAATACTCTTGAACTCTGTTCAAAACAATTTTGGCATGCCCACCCAGAAGACAAAAATGAAATAAAGCAACAAATGGCACTGGTGTGAAGTTTTTTCTGAATACTTAACTTCTGTATCCAGGAGTTTTACGCAGAATCATTTACAGATGGGAAAAGCAAGAGAATGATGGAGTTCTTACCACCACACTTGAGGATTAGACTCAGCCAGTTTTCTAAGAAGGCACGCCAGGAAGTCGCCTTCTTTATTTTCAGACATTTGTGTTTAAAAGACTGTGTTCTCTGTAAAATACTGTAAACTAAACAAAAAGGTAAAATGCCTCATTTTTCTAACCTTCCATTGGTACTTCCATTTCTATTACTTCACTGCTCCCAGAAGAATGATGGCTTTCTGAAATGAAAGCAAACAATATATAAAAAAGGTAGAAATACAAATTTAAAAAAAGAAACTATTAAAAACAATGCAAACAATTCAAGACCTGCACAGGAATGTACATGAAATACTTCGACTCTTTGAAATAAAATTCACTCAAATGATCCATTCTTTACATTTTTTCTTTGTCATTGTATCTGTACTTTGGAAAAATTTCAAACATACAGAAGTAGAGAGATGGTATGATGAAGCCATGAGCCTGTCCCCCTGCACCAACAGTCATCAACTCACGCAATCCTGCTTACCTGTGTCTGCCGCCCCCCGCCACCGTGTAACGTAAATCCCAGATATGGTAGAATTCAATGTGCAAACACTGTGTGTGGACAACAAGACAAAACTCTCTTCCTTTAGCATCATAATATCATGATGATCTCCTCAATTATCAATTATTCTTTATCATCATCTAATATCTAGTCATTGTTCAAATTTCCTCGATTGTCTCACAAATAGCTTTTTTAAAAAAAACTTTATATTTGGAAATAGTTTTAAACTTACAGAAAATTTGCAAAAAGAAAATAGTACAAGGAAGATCCATATTCCCTTTACTCAGATAACGTGATGTTAACATTTTACCGTTTCCCTTTATCATTTGTAATCTTTCTCCCCCTACATCTGTCCATATAGAGTGATAGATGTATATCTACAAACTTTTTTTTTCGCTGAGGAAGATTCACCCTGAGCTAACATCTGTGCCAATCTTCCTTTGTTTTGTATGTGGGTCACCGCCACAGCATGGCCGCTGACGAGTGGTCTGCGCCCTGGAACTGAACTCAGGCTGCCAAAGTGGAGCGCACCGAACTTAAACACGAGGCCACGGGGCTGGCCCCTACATACTCTTTTTTCTGAACCATCTGAGGGAAAGTTACATACATCATGGCCTTTTATCTCTAAATACTTTAGTGACTATGTCCTAAGAATATGGGTATTGTCTTACATGATCACAGTACAGTTGTAAACATCACAGAATTTAACATTGAGACGACACTTGTGCCTGCTCTACCATTTGTATTCCAATTTTGTCAGTTGCCCAATGTCCTTTAGAGCTCCCCCTTTGGGGGCAGGATCCAGTTTGGGGTCAGGTGTTGCTTTTGTTGTCACGCCTCCTTAGTCTCCTTTAATCTGAACAGTTCCAGAGTCTGTCTTTCATTTTTACAGCATTGCCACTTTTTAAGGACAGAGACCCCCTTCCCCACCTTTCTCCCCCTCAGTGGAATGTTCCTCATTTTGAGTTTGTCTGATGTTTCCTCGTGATAAGATTCAGGTTTTGCATTCTCGGCCAGAACAGTCCCTACAGGACGGTGTGTCCTTCTCAGGGTGTCATGTCTGGAGGCACATGACATCTGCTACGGACTTTTTTATGTCTGTGTCCCCTAAACGCCTGTGTTGAAATCTAACCCCCAATGTGATGGCGTCTGGAGGCGGGCCTTTGGGAGGTGATTAGGTCATGAGGTGGAGCCCTCCTGAATGGGATTAGTGCCTTCTAAAAGAGACCCCAGAGAGCTCCCTTGTCCATGCCACCATGTGAGGACACAGTGAGAAGATGGGTGTCTATGAACCAGGAAGGGGGCCCTCACAGACACTGGATCTGCTGGCACCTTGATCTCGGACTTCCCAGCCTCCAGAACTGTGAGAAATAAATGTCTGTTGTTTATAAGCCCCGCAACCTATGGTATTCTGTTTCAGCAGCCTGGATGTAGGAAGACAGTGTCCACTTGTCCCTCATGGGTGATGTGAATTTTGATCCCTGATCAAGGTGTTACTTACTTCCCCGCTACATAATTACTGATTTTTCCTCCCTCTTGCAACTAACAAGCAGCCTGTGGGTAGAAACTTTAAGACCACGTAAATATTCCACTTCTTTTCTAAATTTCTCTCTAGATTCAGCATCTACTCATGATTCCTGCTTGATCCAATCTTTTATTATAATGGTTACAAAATGATTTTCCAATGCCAGTGTTCCTTTCCATTGACCAGTCATCATTTGGCATTCCATGGGAAGGGGTAAATGTCTTTTTTGCAATTGGTTTGCTCAAATCAGGATCCCAGCAAAGCCCACATGCTGCATTTGGTTGAAATGTCTCTTAAATCTCTTTTACTATAAAACAGGTTTTTCTCACTCTCTTTCTCTTTTTTAACTTGCCATCATTATTATTTTTTTTGGTGAGGAAGATTGGCCTTGAGCTAACATCTGTGCCAATCTTCCTCTATTTTGTATGTGGGACACCACCACAGCGTGGCTTGATGAGTGGTGTAGGTCTATGCCTGGGATGTGAACCCGTGAACCCTGGGCCACCGCAGGGGAGTGTGCGGAACTTTAATCACTTGGCCATGGGGCTGGCCCTCTAACTTGCCATTATTTGTTGGAGAAACCAGTGCATTTGTCTTGTTGAGTTTCTCCCATTCTGGAGTTTATTGCCTGTGTCCTGTGGTGTTGTTTTCATATGTTCCTGTATCCCTCCTATTTCCTGCAAATTGGTGGTTAGGTTTGACTTTTGGGGGCAAGAATCCCAAAGGTGTACTTCCTACTGGATCCTGTCAGGAGGCACATAATGACTGATTACGTCTGTCTTTGTGAGGGTAACACTGGACCAGTGAGTTCAGACTCTGTCAGCCTGACCCATTCATGACCCATCAACATTTTATGAATGGTTTTAATGGCCATTGATGACTACTGCCAAGATGTATGGTTTCATTAGGGGTTGCAAAATGGGGACATTTTATGACTTCTTTTTAAGCCTTATGTTTTACTCCCCAAAATTCTTTAAGTGAAAAAGAGGGTGAGAGGAATTTAGCACATACTTTATTTGCTAGGTAAGAGTTTGAATCCAAATAAATTTTTTTATTATCAGTGACTCTAACAACACTATAAAATTATTAATCAATGTCTGTCAGCAACAGAAAAAATCCCCACAGGCATTTCATTTAGGCTTTTCTTATATTTTTTTCTTTGTTGTGGATTGCAGACACGGAAGCTGAGATTCTGACATAAATGAGTGCCAAACAGGCCTGCCACATTGCTGCTTTCCCGGGGGGCACTGATGAAGGTGGGGGGCTTTCATTCCCATTCCCAGAACTGAAATCACAGCCACTGAGGTCTTAAAGGAAGGCTCCTCACATATTTCAGGTTAGGCAACTCGCAGCCAACACAATGCTTTAGGAGGGCCCACAGCCCTGATAACATAACTTCTTTGTTCATTTACCAATTCTGCAATTATTTGAAGAAAGGGGAGAGGGTGATTATGTATCTAGGCACACACTGAATTTAAGCGTTATTTTCTCTTTCCAGCCTCTTGCCCCATGTTTGGTCTTACTGGAAGAGGAGGGAGGAGGATGGCGGTGGCTGAAGGGAGTGGGCTCAGAAGAGGCTGCTGGAAGATGGTGAAGGGCGGGCAAGAGACATGACAGACACTGGCGGGCCCTCACACCCACGTCAGGCTGTAGAGACACAGGCTCTGGCCCACCTTCAACCAATGATTCTCACTGTCTTGTTAAATCTGAAGCACACCGCTCCACTTGGGTTCTGCGGTGACGTGAAAGGCGAGGAAACCTCAGGCTGCTCACGGGCAGCACAGACTCAGGCAAGGCCTCTTCTAGAGCCCCGGCACAGGTGGCAGCTCTGCACAGAATCTGCAGACTGGTTTATCAATCCACCTATTTCTGTCACCGTTCTGCTAAAAAGCAAGCAGAGGGGGTTCGAGGGATTTTAGGGCTGATCAGGAAGATCCGAGGACGAGGTGGTGGGAGCACGCGCAGCCTTATTTGGGTGGGGCTTTGGCAGGTTTGCATGTGGAGAGAGTGCCTCACAGAGGGAGGCTGTGCAGGGCTTTGCTGCGGGACCGCCGTCCAGAAGCGCCGTCCAGAAGCGCCATCCAGAAGCGGGAGGCGCAAGGGAACCGCTGGGGAGAGGGGGCCTGGAGAGGGGGCTTCCATGTCTGGGTGACGCAGCTCGGCAGCAAGGAGGGGAGTCTGGGTCAGAGAGCTGTGAGGGGCAGCAGTGGCTGGGGTCTTCACAGCCCTGGGGTTTTCCTTATCTATGCCTAGCACGTGTTGGGCGCATGTGGAGTTTGGTGCCGGCAGGCTTTTGAGCTACTAGGTTTCAGCCTGTGGTGAAGAAATAAACACCTAGGGGCCAATACACAGAGGACATCACTGTCTCATTTCTAGAACCCCAAGTACCCTCAATACTGCATCATCGAACCGTTCATTCTGCGCAACAGGCAGCCACAAATGTTACAAAGTACAAATCACTTACACATAAAAGTGAGTCACCTTCCCATTTTGAGTCTCATTTGATTTTACCAAACAGAAGTAGAGGTAAATAATTTAAAAACAAGCTGCTCCTTGTTAGGTTCAATTCTAAGCACAACAAAATTTACATAAAAAATAGAAGTAGGCCAATGTATTTCTTTTCCTCCTCTTTCATTTTGAAAAGTCAAAATGCAGGAGCTGGCCCTGTGATGTAGTGGGTAAGTCTGGCGTGCTCCACTTCGGCAGCCCAGGTTTGCGGGGTTTGGATCCCGGATGCAGACCTACACTACTTGTCAGCCACGCTGTGGCGGCGTCCCACATACAAGATAGAGGAAGACTGGCACAGATGTCAGCTCAGGGCCAATCTTCCTCAGGAAAAAGAAAAAGTCAAAATGCAGAGCTACATATCACACGCAGTAAATTCAATGTAGACTAACTAACATCCTGAGAGGCTCTGGAAAGCGGCAGTGGAAGAGTGTACATTTGAAACACTTCAAAATGAGGAATTTTTCATCAGGAGGATCAATTTTCAAAGGATCTGCTCTGGAGCACAAATTTAGTCACCAAATTTGAGTTAAGATATGGGATAGTAGCCACTCCATAAAGAAAAAAGGCAAAATTAAAAATAAGTGAGTGCTGGGCCGGCCCCATGGCTTAGCGGTTAAGTGCTCGTCCTCCGCTACTGGCGGCCCGAGTTCAGATCCCGGGCGTGCAGCGACGCACCGCTTCTCCAGCCATGCTGAGGCCGCGTCCCACATACAGCAACTAGAAGGATGTGCAGCTGTGACATACAGCTATCTACTGGGGCTTTGGGGCGGAAAATATATATATATAAAAAAAAAAGTCAGTGGTAATGAAGTTGTCCTACATGCTACAAAATGGATGAATGTTTAAGATATCATGCTAAGAGAAACAAGCCAGTCACAAAAAGACAAATACTGTATGGTTCTACTTCTATGAAGTACCTGGCCTAGGCAAATTCATAGAGACAGAAAGTAGGATGGTGGGTGCCAGGGGCTTGGGGGAGGGGAATGGGGAGTTATTGCTTAACAGGTACGGAGTTTGTTTGTGATGATGAAAAAGTTCTGGAGATGGACGGTGGTGATGGTCACACAACAATGTGAACGTACTCAATGCTACTGACCTGTGCATTCAAAAATGGTTAAAATGGCAAATTTTATGTTATGTATGTATAGTCTATCACAATAATAATAAAAAAGGAAATGAGTGACAAGATGACTGGTGTCCATTCACCAAGAAGACGAGGCCTCCCTGGTAAGTTTATCCCCAGACGGTTAAAACAAAATATTCCTGGTCTAGAGTTTTGACAGCAAAAATCATATGTATTGAATAGGCATCAAATGTATTAAAAATAATCTGATAATCAGTCTTTTCAAGTTAAAAGTGAAAATGAATCACACATTTTATTTTATACAGGTTATTTATACAGATGATAGACACAGGTTAATCTTACATTGAATCTGCTTATTTTTTAACGTATTGAGATATAATTCCCATACCATAAAATTCACCCTTTTAACGTGTACAATTCAGTGGTTTTCCATATATTCACAAAGTTGTACAGCCATCATCACTATCTATTTCCAGAACATCTTCATCACCCCCCACAGAAACCCTGTACCCATTAGTAGTCACTCCCCACTCTCTTCTCTCTCCAGACCCTGTAACCACTAATCTCCTTTTTGTCTCCACGGATTTGCCTCTTCTGAACATTTCCTGGAGATGGATTCACACAAGTACCCTTTTGTGTCTGGCTTCTTTCACTTAGCAAAATGTTTTCAAGCATTGGCTGGGGGTCTTCATAGCCCTTGTTGTAGCATGTATCAGTACTTCATTCTTTGCTATGGCTGAACAATATTCCATTGTATGGATACACCACATTTTGTTTATCCATCCATGTTGATGGACACTTGGATTGTTTCCACCTTTTGGCTATTGAGAATAATGTACAAGTTTTTGTGTGGACATATGTTTTCAATTCTCTTGCGTATGTAGCTAAGACTGGAATTGCTGGGTCATGTGGTAACTCTCAGTTTAACTTTCTGAGGGATCACCAAACTATTCTCAAAAGCAGCCACGCCATTTTACATTCCCACCATTTTACATTTCAATTTCTCCACATGTTCACCAACACTTGTTATTGTCTGCCTTCTTAATTATCGTTCTCCTAGTGGGGATGAAGTGGTATTTCATTGTGATTCTGGCTTGTATCTCTAATAACTAATTATGTTGAGCATCTTTTCATGTGTGTATTGACCACTTGTATATCTTCTTTGGAGAAATGTCTATTCAAATCATTTGCCCATTTTTAAATTGAGTATTTTGTATTTTTATTGTTGAGTTGAAAGAGTTCTTATATTTTCTGGCTACTAGATCCTTATCAGATATATAATTTTCAAGTATTTTCTCTCATTCTGTTGGTGGTCTTTTTACTTTATTGATAGTATTCTTTGAAGCACAGGAGTTTTTAATTTTGGTGAGGATCAATTTATCTATTTTTTCCTCTGGCTGCTTGTGCTTCAGATATCCAATCTAAGAAACCACTGCCTAATCCAAGGTCACAAAGATCTACATCTATATTTTCTTCTAAGACTATTATAGTGTCAGCTCTTACATTTAGGTCTTCGACCCATTTTGAGTTAATTATTGTATATGGTGTGAGGTAGAGGTCCAAGCTTATCTTTTTGCATGTGGAGATCCAGTTGTTCATTTTGTGAAAAGACTATTCTTACCCCATTGAATTGCCTTGGCACCCTTGTTGAAAATCAACTGACTATAAATTTATGAGTTTATTTCTGGACTCTCAATTCTATTCCATTGACTCATGTCTATCCTTATTCCAGTACCACAGAGTGTTGATAATTGTAGCTTTGTAGTAGGTTTTGAAATCAGGAAGTATGGATCCTCCAACTTTGTTCTTCTTCTTCAAGATTGTTTTGACTATTTAGGGTCCCTTGCATTTCCATATGAATCTTAGGAAAGCCTTCCAATCCATGAGCACAGGATATCTTTCCATTTAGTTAGGTCTTCTTTAATTTCTTTCAACAATGTTTTGTAGTTTTCAGTGTACAAGTCTTGCACTTCTTTGGTTAAATTTACTCCTAAGTATTTTATTCTTTTTGATGCTATTGTAATGGAATTTTCTTAATTTCAATTTTTGATTGTTCATTGCTAACATACAGAAATACAAGTGATTTTTGTATATTGATCCTGCATCCTGCAACCTTGCTAAACTCATTTATTAGCTCTAATAGTGTGTGTGTGTGTGTGTGTGGGGTGTGTGTTTGTGTATGTGTGTGTGTATTCCTTAGGATTTTCTACATACAAGATCATATCATCTGCAAATAGAAACAGTTTCCCTTCTTTCTTTCCACTCTGGATGCCTTTTTTTTCCCTTCCCTAACTGCCCTACCTAGAGCCTCCAGTGTCATGTTGAAGGAAGTGGCAAGAACAGACGTCCGTGTCTTGTTCCTGGTCCTGCAGGAAAGACTTCAGTGTTTCGTCATTGAGTATGACATTAGCTGTAGTTTTTTTTGTAGATGTTCTTTATTAGGTTGAGGAAGGTCACTTCGATTTCTAGTTTATTTAGCGTTTTTTTTTTTTTTTAAATCATGAAAGGGTGTTAGATTTTGTCAGATGCCTTTTTCCTACATCTCTTGGGATAATGGTGTGGTTTTTGTCCTTTATTCTATTATGTTGCACTCCACTGACTGATTTCCACATGCTGAACTAATCCTGCATTCCTACGCTAAGTCCCAATCATGATGGATGTTTTATGTTACCACAGACACTTTCATAGGTCTCTTTTCATTGGTCTTTAGATTTTTATTTTTAATTTTTTTTTTGTGAGGAAGATCAGCCCTGGGCTAACATCCATGCTAATCCTCCTCTTTTTGCTGAGGAAGACCGGCCCTGGGCTAACATCTGTGCCCATCTTCCTCTACTTTATGTGGGACGCCACCACAGCATGGCCTGACAAGCGGTGCGTCAGTGTGCGCCTGGGATCCGAACCCCAGGCCGCCCCAGTGGAGCGCGCACTTAACCGCTGTGCCACCAGGCAGGCCCCGGTCTTTAGATTGTTTGAAAAAGATTTTTAGTAAAACTTACAGAGCTATGTAATGCTGAAGGAAAATTTCAAAGTTAACATTTTATAGGAAATATTTCAAATCTGATAATAATGTTTGAGGAGTTAATTGCAAATTGTCCTGTACTCTGCCTATATTCACAGCGGAGCTCAAAGGTGGAGAAAGGCTCTGAATGCCGTACAACAGTCACAGCATTAGGATGATGCCATATTGTCAAACTGGTATCACTCTGGCGTCCAGCAGGATTCTGGTCTTGGGTAGAGGACCAAGCCACACAACAGCACAGAGCACCTACCTGTGCCACACTTGACAAGTGTGTGTATCTGGTAATAATTGTCTTCTGCTCCCCATCTAACTTGTATGATGTCAGTGAAGCAACTATTATTTAACAATGGGCATTCGAATTTCTTAACTCTCATTTCCATCTCTTTTAATATTTTCTGATAACTTACTATTTTCTCTTAACTTAGGGACAGACAGAAGAGTGATTAGGGGGAAATATGTTAGAACACACAAAATAAGAATAGTTAAGACAAACTCAAGTAATATGCACCCTGAAATAGCTTTACATTCTCATAGACCTAGGAGCATATGGATTTAGGCTAAATAAAATCTATTTTATGACAGTAAAATATTTTCCTCTAAATGGCAGTCAGCTAGATCCTAGGTACATGGATCTTCATTATTCTGTGCCTGTTTTTTAGATGGGTGCTAATTAAAATTTTCCATCACAAATTACTTTTGGAAAAGAAAATTATTATAAAATGGTATTACCTTGCATATTGTATCGATAGTAATTAGGATCATCTGATTCTTTCTTGACTGACACAGCTGACGCTTCCACTGAAATGCCTTTGAATGCAATGGAAATTATAAAATTATGCCTTAGGCCAAACCCACCAACAGAGAAATATGATCAGCTGATATAACTTCCACATACTGTTTTAACACAGCAACATTATAATCAGCAAAAGAACTTGTAGCTCACGCACTATGAACAAAAGGCTTATCCATATAAAACTATAAATAATATAAATATGAAATAATAGAAAATCAACTTAAAAGGAAAGAAGGAAGCAGGGAGAGAAGGATGAAGGAAGGAATGGAGAGAGGGAAGGAGAAAAGGAAGGGAAGGAGAAAGAGGTCTACTTCCCAGTTGTGGGAAATTTTCCCTTTCAAGATGGCTGAATATATAGGTTCATTTACGTGCAATACTGTGAATATTCTTCTGTAATGGGACCTGAATTGGTACGTATAATCTTAACCGACCCACTACAAAGCAATGGATTTCAAAACCTGGGGCAACTACGTTAGTACAACCAGAAGCTTTGTCAGGGAAGGGTGTGGTAGATTGCAAACATTAGCACAAATTTCTCCCATCCCATATGCATCCCTGTTTGCAATGGGACTTTCCCACTCCTATTTTCTAGAAGTGGAGTCTCTTCTCCACCCTTTAAACCTGGACTTGGCCATGTGACTTGCTTTGGCCGATGGGAGGCTGGCTAACGGGATGCCAGCAGAGGCTTGAAAAGTGCGTGTGCATCAGTGTTTGCTGTTTCTGGAACCGAGTTGCTGTGGGAACAAGCCTGGGCGAGCCTGGTCTCCTGGAGGATGTGAGACGATGAGGCGAGAGGCACCCGGCTCTTCCAGCTGACACCTCAGACCAGGGGCGAGGCCATCCCAGACTACCCAGCCCCAGCTGAGCCAGCCCAGACGGGCAGGACTGCCCAGCCAACACACAGAATTGTGAGAAAGACTAAACCATTGTTTGAAGCCACTAAGTTTTGGGGTGCTTTTTATACAGCAATAGATAACCGATCCTGAAGTATACACATGATTTAACCATGAATGTTAACAACAGCAAAAGCAAAAATTGTGGCATAGCTTGGGATTCACTGTTTAGCATGAATTCACAAGTTCTGAGGAGTCTTCTGAAACCCTTTAACACCTCTGTTGGTTTAAGGATAGTGAGATTGGATATTAAGGAATGTGATTATCGAAAAGAAAAATTTGTTAGAAAAACGGAGGAATAGAACGGACACAGCTCATGGCCATATCAGTGAAGTGGAAGATTAAGTCGAGGAAACTTCTCAGAAATGGGGCAAAACGGTAATCTGATGGAAAGATGAAAGGAAAGTCGACAAATGGAGGTCAATTTATGCATAAAAAAAGAGAAAAGAAAAAAGCTATTTATGTGCTTGTAAGCGATCTGAAAGAATTTTCACAAATCAGTTAAGGGGTGTTGCCCCTAAAATTGGGATGGAATTTGAGGTGTGCAGGGAGATTTTGAGGGGATGGAGTTTTGAGAGGAGGGACTGAAAGGGTGAAAAGGAATTTTACTTATTACTGCTCGTTAGTCTGAATTTTCTAAAACTTCACACAGGCATAACTTTTGTAATACTTTATAATAAAATTTTAATTAAAGTACAAGTTCTAAGTTGATTAGGCAATCACGACTCTACTAACAGAAACATTTGATAAACATTTGACAGCTGGGCTGTCAAAGAAAAATTCCTTTTTAATCCAGGAAACTGAAATCAGATTTGATGGTGGAGAAATGTAGAATTTGTTTGAAATGCTAATGAAAACAGATTTACTTCAGCCTTTCCTCAACATGAAGGAGGGAGGAAGGGAAATGGAGTGAGAGAGACACAGAGAGAAAGAAATTCAAAACTCAAAATCATGTAAACACTTGTTCTATGTAGCAAGTGTTACACAGATATCACAGGAAAGAAGTCCGATTGATGGCCAGCTCTCAGAAGCCTGCGGGCAGCAGGAAGTGATTCCTATTGCATCGTGAAATGCACAGGAGAAAGTCACATTAATAGGGAGCATGTTTGTTTAAACGGAACCACACCTCCAAAGAGAGCCCTCAACAAAAGAGGCCTATTTTAAGGCGGGTGGGAACTGCTCATCTGGCCCAATAGCTGGTGAGGAAGGAGAGGAGGCCTGGGGATGCAGATCTGCGAAAGGGCCCCTGGGGAGAGCTGACAAGCCCCCACTCTCCTCATTTGTCTTTCCAGTTTCTAAGAGGAGACTGTGGCGTGGGGCTTTTAAAATCTCTGTGACTGTCGGAGATACAGGCAGAACATATCTGAGCTTTGAAATGCATCCAAGGCCAGATTAAAGGGGCAAGCGTGTAAGGCATGTCATGGTGCAACTGAGATGAAGACCACAGCTGAGTCCTGCTTGGCGGAAACACAGGGCTCATTTCCTGTCACTGACTCATGTGAGCTTGACTAGAACCACTGAAGTGGACAACCACCACCTTCTCTGACACTCTGACCTTTAAGGTGGAACTTCCACACAGCACAAGCTGACACGTGGATGGGAGGGACATGCGCACCTACAGTGGTGGTGGGAGGACCCTGAGGCGTGACAAAGGAGGAGTCAGTTCACTGAGACTGGCCTGCCAGGGACTGGGGAGGCCGAGGAGCATAAATCAGCCTTGACAGCTTTGTTTTTCTTTTGGGTTATCTTAGATTTAATTTTAACTTTACATTTTGAACTGTTTATTTCATATTTCTAGGTTGCTTTTCTAAGCATTATTAAATTCTAATTTTACCCTCTTACAGCCAGCTTGTGTTCATTTTTATCTTTTTGGGGTTTGAGTTTTAGTTTTATATTCTCGTTTAGTTTAGGGTTTCTAAGCTTTCCACTTCTAATGTTTTCAATATTTTCCCAGGCCTTGATTAAACATTTGAGTTTAAAAAAATTTTTCTATTTTTAGCCTTTTAACATTTTCCTTCTAATTCCAATTTTCTTTTTTTGAGGAATAGGGAAAGGCAGGGATGAGGGTCAATCACTCTCATCCATCGAAGAGGGCTTTTTTTCCCAATACACATTGTAATAGTAATGCACGTCTATTGTAGAAATGACAGAAGAGTGCAAGAAAGCAGTAAAATATGTCCAAAAATGAAAACACTGCTCTATTTGTAAATCAAGTCATAATTTCAAATGTGTATTCAAGACTTTTTACTCATTTCACAGTCAGGCTCTAATTTAAATATAATTAAAATAATATTTTGTCCACAAATATATCTTCTTAATAATGTCTTAGTACCTGCTATTTACTGAATTAGAAGGTTTTCCTTTCTAGATATTTGAGTAAAATATGATTATTCTGCAAATAAGGACCCAGTTGAGGTTACTTAGTGCCCTAGTCCCCCCAACACATCTATTTTTTTGTCGATTCTTTTGGATTTTCTACATGGACAATCATGTCCTCTGCGAACAAAGTTTTATTTCATCATTCCCAATCTGTGTACCTTTTATTTTCCTTTCTTGTCTTATTGCATTAGCTAGGCCTTCCTGTACGATGTTGAAAGGAGCGGTGAGAGGGGACATCCTGCCTCGTTCCTGATCTTAGCGGGAAAGCTTCTAGTTCCTCACCATTGAGTATGATGTTGGCTGTAGGTTTTCTGTAGATTTTTAAAATCAATTTGAGGAAGTTCCCTTCTACTCCTAGTTTACTGAGAGTCTCATTTCTTGTTTTAGTAAAACAAAAGAAAGGAGTCAAATGATAACCTGTTAAATACTTGATCCTAAAACCACCAGTGTACATACCAGAATCTTCCATGGGCTCAGTTTTCACACTGATGGGGCCACAGCTGAAAGGAAGAAGGGAACTCTGGTCAAGACAGGCAGGGTGAGGACTGACCACAGGCATTTAGACAAATGGAATTCAGATCCTCTGGACTCCCAAGCTATCAAACCTCCCCTCCCCACCATCAAACTGAAAGCAAAATTGCCTCAATTTTAACATGAACTGTCTTAATCCTTTTGAATAAAGAATGTATAACAAAATAAGGAAGACTTTCCATAGTCTAAAAACTAACACTCTGGCATGAGATGTGGATTTTACTTTTTTTATTTTTCCCCTACCTTTCACTTGGCGATGTCATCGATCTCTCAGCGTCTGTCACCACCACAGGCCCACCTGTGCAGGAGCAAAAAGACAAACACTAGTCACTGTCTGTCCCTTGAAATATGGCAATATTCAAAGGCATATAAGGTGCAAGCAAATACAGAGAGAAGAGAACTCGCAGCTCTAGGTCATCACGGAATGGCAGTGGGGGAGAGAACAACTCGCATCAGGCCCCGTGTCCTGGGGCCATTTGTGTGGGCATAATGGGGGCCGAGAAGCAGACTGGGGCCTGAGCACGGGTGTGGATCCCACCTTGCTGCTTACCGGCTGGGTGACCTCAAGCAGGTTACTCAACCCCCCTGTGCCTCAGTTTCCTCATCTGAAAATGGTGGGTGAGTGAGGATTAATGAATACATGCAAAGTGCTTAGAACAGTGCCTGGCACAGCATAAGCACTGAACAAGCATTAGCTGCTATTATTCTATAATGAAAATACAAGTCATCCGGGACAACAACCATCTGGTTACCTGCCACCCCTCACCCTCAAGTCCCTCCTTTAATGTGAGCTGGAGGATTCCAGGAAGTCACAACTGCTCCAGAAACAGACTGTGCTCTGTGAGTAGCCCACGCTCAGAAGAATGGGAGCATGCCACATCACCCTCTCTGCCCTGGCAGTGTGCCTTGTGGACTGTGCAACCCGTACCCCACCCACCCCTGGGCCATCTCTACCTACGCGGTCTCAGCATAACACCCTCTTTAGACCTGGTCTTTCATGAACAGCTATGGCCCAAGTTTTCCAACCACATTCCAGAATAATCATCTGAGAAAATAAGAAGTGGGCATAGGTAGATCTCTAAATGCTTCTGGTAAAGTTACTTTTTTGGGGGTCCCTTCATTATCACAAATTAAGGAGATTATGAAGGGTCCTAGGTTTCCAAACATGGCCTCAAACACCCTTTCAGCTTTCTGCCTGATCAATGGAATGAGCTTCCTGGGAGAACCAACCTGTTGAGACTCTGCTTATCTTGAGGGCCAACTCCTCCATGAAGCCCTTCCGATGACACAATTCTATCCCCTTCCTGGAGGCTCTCAGGGATTTCCTCCAGCCATCCTGAGAGCACCACAGGTCACCCCTGGTTCTCTGCTGGATGCTCTCATTCCTTCTCCTAGACCATGCGTCTCAGAAGCAGGGGAATGCTCACACCTTCTAGATCCACTCTGGAACCCAACAATGCCAGGCCTGTGGCTGGTGGTCAAAAAGTGACCATAAAGTGACCACAGCATTCTCATGAGGACAAGATAGGCCTACTGCTCTCAGTGGTCTGGAGGCAGAACTTGCTGGTATGGGAGCTGGTCAGAGAGTTGTGTCTCAACTCTCTTGACCTCTGGTTGGGTCTGTCCTTCCCTGAGCTGTACACCCTACAAATATCATGACCCCCACCCTGGAATGTCAGAGTTGCCTCCTCAATGGGGAGAAGGCAAAGAATGAACAAGCTTTAGAATGTGCCAAACTTGCATTTTAATTAAGAAAAGCAGAACTAATTTAGCAGCCAAGGGCAGGCACCAAGTATGAAAAGCTGTCACTTACCTAGCTGATTCCCTGGACCTAGGAAAGGTCTGCAAGAAAACCAATACTATTACCCAACACGAACACACAAGCGAGACAGATTAAACATCGGAATAACCAACTTCTAAATGTAATAGGACATAATTAATGAACTAAGTGAAATTAAGCTCTCAGTTTATCTTCAAATGAACTGTTAGGAGGGGATGGAGCCTGTCACCTGTTTATGATGAATGAAATTCCAGCTTTGTTCTCCAAAATCCATTTCAGGGTTGCAAGATCATAGTTCTCAGGATGCTGAAAGGCAACGCCTTCTGGAAGCCCCTGCACTACCACAGCCGCCTGGTCTCTCAGCATCTTCTCGTATGGAACAGGCACCATCGCTGTTGTTCCTAAGGCTTTACCTAGGAGAAGAGGCAAAAAAATGTCTTTAAATAGTATGAGCATAAAACTCTACTGGTCAGTTTCACTTAGTGTAATAAATACAGGCTTTGAAGATACATTAAAACATAAAGTACCCTATTCCTCTATATCCCAAGTTAATACAATTCCCAACCAAAGGGCCAAAACAAAAAATTTATAATATTTATCTTAAACTTGCACATAAAAAAGAGAAAATAATAGGGTTTTTTCTCCATTCTCTTGAAGACTGCACTATTGGGGGTACTGACCTTGGTGTACCTAGTGCCGCAGGGAGCACCCCGTGGTTACTCAGGCTGTTGCTAAAAGAGGATAGAGCCCTCACGTAAAGCTTAACCGTCCCTATGTCACATTGCACAAGTCAGGCCAATTTGCCTGCATTAAAGTTATGAAGTCAACGTGGCCTTGCATCACCATCTGGGCCTCTGTCAGTCTTTCTGTGCTGACTGGCCAGCCCCCAGGTGCTGGAGCCCCGTTTCTCATAGAGAAGTAAAGCCTGAGACCCCAATATCCCCTAAGCTGGGGGTCCCCACATCAAATGCTCACAGAGACCTGTAGGTCACATAAATGTGTGATGCTGTTCAGGAATGATAAAAAAGGCCCTAAGATGATAAGGTGCTTATATTGCAATCAAGTATAACACCTTAGAGTCTTGTTTATTTAGCTTTTTAAAAGCTTTTTTTTTTTTAAAAAAAAATCCCTGTTAATGCCTGTGGAAGGATGTGGGTAGGTGGAGAGACCAATGAGGTGAGGTTGATGACAGCAATGAAGATCTGTAATAACCGTGTGGGCTGTGGAGTGGGGGCTCCCCCAGTGAGAGCAGAAATGGAGTCTGATCAATCCGGAGGTTTTGAAGGACCAGAAGAGACCAAGTTGCCTTTTGTAAGAAGACTTACTCTGGTACTTAAGAACTGGCTCTTTGCTTGATGAGAATGTGGATTTTTCAATGTTAGAGGCATTCTAAACAGTCACAGGAATAAAAGGATCTGTAACTGCCCCCTCCATAGCGAACTCTTCAGAGAATTAATGCTGAAAGTGAAGTTTACCATAACAAAAGCAGAAATAGTCCTTGACTGCTTTTCTGAGTATTTCCGTTTCTCCTGCATCCATCGGCATCCCGTTTGCTGGGCACGGGGGTTTTATCTCAGGCAGCCCTTCAGCAACACCTGTCAACAGGTGATGGGCACAGAGTCAGCACCCAAGCATTTGTACTGTACGCTGCTTCCTGTCTATGCTTCTGGTCATGAAAGGAAAAGGGGGGAAAAAAGAAATAAACATAAAACAAGATATTTTCATTAAAAAAAACAAAGAATAGGGTATGTATGGTGAACAGGATAATATGATCATCTCTGAAATGAATCTATTGATAAAGAATTATAAATGATTCAACACACAGGAAACACTAGGAGTTCAAAGGAAATTATTATTAATCACAGAAATGTTTATAGATACTTGCTATATAGTCTAAAAGGAACAGTCATTGTACAGGAAGACCATCACCACTGAACACATTCTGGACCAGCCCCTCCAATCAGCTGCTACTCCAAAAGTTTTGAAACTGATGGTTTTAATCAGAGCGGGTCAGGAGACAGAAACCACACAGTAATTTGAACAGGGAAAGTTTAATAAAAGAATCATTAACTAGTACCGAGGGATTAACTACTACGGGATCAGGAGAACTCTAAAGGAGACACAAGCAGCAGGAAGTGGCAGTGGCCCCTCCTGCCAGGGCTGAGGCCGAGCACCTGAGGAAGGAGCTAATCTGGAAGAGGCTGCCCTGGGCCGAGACCCGGGCCTCTGGAGAAGAGGCAGCCACGGGCTGTAGGATGGCAGAAAAGTCCCCTGGGGTGCCACAAGCTGGGCTGGCAAGCAGGGACCTGCCCTCTGGGGGCGCCAGTGGAAACTGCTGGCAAGTTGCCCACTGGGTGCGTTGCAAAGAAGCTGTCCTCTGGGGCGTGGTGGGACTCTGGGAACCACCTTCGGAGTGACACCAGCAGAAGTGCTGGGAAGGCACTCCCTGGGGCACTGGCAGAACTCCCCGGGAAACCACCTGTGCGTATGGTGCCCCTGAAGTTCACTAGGAAGCCTCCTTCTGGAACTTTCTGGGACTTGCGTGAGACTTGCTGGGAAGCCAGCTGGGGTGCCAGTGGAACTGACTGGAACCGCGTGGGGTGGGGGCGCCACTGGGAATCCCAACTGCTGTTGGTCCCCACGTGCTGCAGGCACAAGCAGGTGAGAACCCACTGGAAACAGAAGAGAAGCTCCTTCCTCCTCCAGGGACGGCCTGAGCGCTCTTCTTTGTTTCTTTTTTTTTTCCCCTCCGCAAAGCCCCAGTGCGTGGTTGTATATCCTAGTTGTAAGTCCTTCTAGTTCTTCTATGTGAGCCGCCACCACAGTGTGGCAACTGACAGACGGGTGGTGTGGCTCCCTACCCGGGAACCGAACCCGGGCCGCCTAAGTGATGAGAGTGCTGAACTGTAACCACAAGGCCATCAGGCCTGCCTCCTGAGCCCCCTTCTGACAACGGTAAACAGTGAGCCAGCTGCCAAAGTAGAAATGTGCTCAGACCCAGCTCCAACATCACAGGCAGGGCAAAGCAGGGTGGACCTGGAGTGCACAGGCAATGACCTCATAACCGTCACACCAAAGACGGCCAGCGGCTTCTTGAGCTCGAGAGGCCCATGCAACGGAGTTATGTTCTAAGGTCAAATGTAAGGCAAAAGTTGTGGACAGGAAAAATTAAACCTCAACACTCCAGTCACCCAGGAAGTACAGAATATATAGTTTTGTGCACACAATTCTGCAAAGCAATTCTTATGCACATTTCCATTTCAGAACCAGTCAATTAGGCTAAAAGAAGGAAGCAGATGAAAACCGCTATGTTTGGTCATTCAGACAATCTTGGGTTACAGGTAAAGTAAGAGGGGAATAGCGTGGTGGAGAATTGACAATACAGCCTGCATGGTTTACTCCAGGGGTCAGGACTACAGCCTGTGGGCCAAACCCCACCGCCTGGTTTTGTATGACCTGTGAGCTAAGAATGGCTTTTTATATTTTGAAATGGTTAAAAAAGTTCAAAAGGAAAATACTACTTTGTGACACGTGAAAATTACAGGAAATTCACGTTTCAGTGTCCATACATCAGGTTTATTGGCCGTGCTCACGCAGCGACGTGTCTCCTATTTCTGCTTTCACCCTGCAAGGGCGAGCTGGACAGCTGCAGCAGAGGCCGTAACAACCCACTCTGTGTCCCACTTTGGAAAAAGGTTGCCAATCCCTGGTTTATTCTATATTATTTTGATATTAAGCATCCACAACCCTAATACAGGTTGATTTTAAATCTCTGTGGTTTTGAGGATTAAATTAGTGAATAAAAGCTTAGACCACACACAGTTTATTTCTAATGCCAGAGGGAAGGTAAATGTGTGTTTGATGCAATCCCACAGTAATTTTTCCTTACTCCAAGACAACTTTTGAAAACAAATATGATGTATTCAAGAATCACATCCAGTATACCAGTTCCAGGAATGGCAGAGAAGTGTGTATTTGCCAATAACAGTGATAAGCTCTGGACGAAAATCATTCTTTGAAGGCACTGAAGAGCGACCAAACAGGCAGAAGCGGGAAGGGAGGCACACACTGAGAGTCCCTGGAGCTGGCTTCCCTGTGGGGCTCCTCGGCTCCTGTGCTCAGGGAGCTGGAGCGCAACCGAGAAGCAGCAGTCTCGTGGGGTGCGGACATGTGTCCCATGGTGGGACTGTGCTGTGGGGACAATGAGGGGGAATCCTGGAAAGGAGTGAGCAGTAGGAAACCCAGTATCTTCATATCAATTTCCCTCAAATTCTCGACTGGCCCCCAAACTGTGCACGCACAGGGTGAGACTTTAAGGAAAAGCAACTTTTGGAAGCTAAAGAGCTAAGCAGAGATGTAAACAGCTGTGTGGTGCTGGAAAGACAGTTTAGAGTTCAAGTCCTGCCAAGTTGGAGAAGCTTGTGAAACCCAAGTGTGTGAAGCACCTCGTGAAACCAGGGGGCAGACCTTAGGCGCAAGGGCCACATTCCACGACTATGAGGGATGCTCTAAGACCAAGGGGCAAAATCAAAATAGACTTGTCCACACAGGGTCAGGGTGACCCGCCAGTAACTTAACTGACAGCCAGAACAAAACGCAACATCATTTAGCAGATTTTTACAACACATCATGCATATTACCCAGTATAAAATAAAAAATTAGCAAAAATGTGAAGCAGGAAAATGTGACCCATGATCAAGAGAAAAAAATCTATAGAAGCAGAAACATAAATTACCCAGATGTTGGGCTGGCCCCGTGGCTTAGCGGTTAAGTGCTCGTGCTCCGCTACTGGCGGCCCAGGTTCGGATCTTGGGCACGCACCGACGCACCGCTTCTCTGGCCATGCTGAGGCCGCGTCCCACATACAGCAACTAGAAGGATGTACAACTATGACATACAACTATCTACTGGGGCTTTGGGGGAAAAAAAAGGAGGAGGCTTGGCAATAGATGTTAGCTCAGGGCCGGTCTTCCTCAGCAAAAAGAGGAGGATTGGCATGGATGTTAGCTCAGGGCTGATCTTCCTCACCAAAAAAAAAAAAAAAAAAAAGACCCAGATGTTGAAATTATCAGATAAGGACTTAAAAAACTGCCATAAATAAATACATTAAAGACTTTACAGGAGTGATGAACAGAATGGGTGAATACCCAGGGAATTCCAAGAGAAAAATGAAAATGCCAACAAAAACAAAGAAAATGGAATTCTAGAAATGAAAAATAATTGGGGGGGCTGGCCCGGTGCCATAATGGTTAAGTTTGTGAGCTCCACTTTGGCAGCCTGGGGTTTGAGGGTTCAGATCCTGGGCGCAGACCTACACACCGCTCGTCAAGCCATGCTGTGGTGGCGTCCCACATACAAAATAGGGGAAGATTAGCGCAGATGTTAGCTCAGGGCCAATCTTCCTCACCAAAACAAAACAAAACAAAACTTGGAAATGAAAATTTCTAGGATGGAATTAAGAGCAGCCCACTGGGTAGAGCAGAAGAAAGAATCAGTGACCTCAAGGAAGGGTCAATAGAAATTATCCAATCTGAAGCCTGAATAGAAAACAGAGGAAAAAAAGAGGAACACAGCCTTAATGACCTGTGGGACAATATCAAATTTTATTCTATATGTAAATGAAGGAGACAATGGATCAGAATAAATATTTGAAGAGATAATGGCCAAAAATGTCCCAAATTGATGAAGATGTCAACCTGCAGATTCAATAAGCTCCACAGACCAAGCAGGGTGAGGACAACGATGGCCACAAACAGGCACAGCACAGCCAACCGCCGAGAACCGGGCCCGCCAGAGCTGCAGAGAAAGATGCGCCACCTTCAGAGGAGCAAACACAAGAATTCCAATCTGACTTTGTATCTAAAACAGTGGCAGCCAGAAGGCAACTGAATGAAATTTTTAAAGGGCTGAAAGAAAAAAATCGTCAAGCTAGGATTCCATATCAAGTAAAAATATTCTTCAAAAATGAAAGCAGGACAATGATGTCAGCAAGATGGCAGACTAAGAAGCAACAGGCCTTCTTTCCCCACAGACACACCAAGTTAACAATATACAGACCAGAACACCTCTGTGAGAACTCTACAAACCAGCTGAGAAGCTGGAGCACCCGCCATCACATAACCAAGAAGGCACAGTCTCTTCAACAAATGATGTTGGAAAAACTGAGTATCCATGTGCAAAAGAATGAAATTGGACCCTTATCTTACATCATATACAAAAATTAACTCAAAATGGCTTAAAGACTTAAACGTTAAGACTTCAAACTACAAAACTTCCAGAAAAAACATAGGTGAAAAGCTTCATGACATTGGATTTGGCAATGATTTTGTGGGCATGACACCAAAAGCACAGGCAACACAAGCAAAAATAAGACAAATGGGACTATATCAAACTTAAAAGCTTTTGTGCATGAAAAGACACGATCAACAGAGTTAAAAGGCAACCTACCAGATGTCTGCAAGTCATATATTGTAACTGTAAATATAATTGTGAATCTTTGCAAATCATATATTTGATAAGGGGTTAATAGCCAGAATATATAAAGAACTCCTAGAACTCAACAACAAAAAAATCAAATAACTAAATTCAAAAATGGGCAAAGGACTTGGAAGACATTTCTCTGAAGATGATATACAGATGGCCAACAAGCACATGAAAAGATGCCCAACATCACTAATCATCAGAGAAATACACATGTAAACCACCACGAGATATCACCTCACATCCATTAGGATGACTACTATCAAAAAAGCAGAAAATAACAAGTGTTGGTGAGGATGTGGAGAAATTGGAACCCTTGTGCACTGTTAGTGGGAATGTAAAATGGTGCAACATGGAAACCATAAAAGTTCTTCAAAAAATTAAAAATAGAACTACCATATTATTCAGCAATCCCACTTCTGGGTATATATCCAAAAGAATTGAAAGCATGGTCTCAAAGAGTTATTTGCACACTTATGTTCTTAGCAGCACTTTTTACAATAGGCAAAAGGTAGAAGCAACCCAAATGTCCATCGACAAATAGGATGGATGGATAAACAAAATGTGGTGTCTACATATGATGGAATATTATTCAGCCTTAAAAAGGAAGGAAATTCTGCAACGTGCTGCAAATGCTACAACACGGACGAACCTTGAAGATGTTATGCTAAGTGAAATAACAAGTCACAAAAAGACAAATACTGTATGATTCCACTTCTATGAGGTACCTGCAAGAGTCCAATTCATAGAAACAGAAGCAGAATGTATTAGGGGCCGGGGGGAGGAGAGAAAAAGAAGTTGTTTAATGAGTATAGAGTTCCAGATTTGCAAGATGAAAAAGTTCTGGAGATCTGTTTCATAACAATGTGAATATACTTAACGCTACTGAACTGTACACACAAACATGGTTTAGATGATAAATTTTATGCTTGTTTTTTTTAACCCCAGGCATACACAGAAAATTGAAGGCAAGGTCAAGATATTTTCTGATAAACAAAATCTGAGGGAGTCTGTTACCATTAGACTCACACTAAAAGAAATGCTAAAGAAAGTTCTTCAGACTGAAGGGAAATAATTCCAGATGGAAATCCAGATATAAAAGAAGGAATAAAGAGTATTGGAAATGGTATATATGCAGGTAAATATAGATTATTTTAAAAATTTTTGGAAAGTGACTGACTGCTCAAAGCAAACATAATGATAAGGTATTGGAGGATTTATAACATAGTAGGGCTAGAGAGAAATAAACAGAATTATACTATTTAAGGTTCTTACATTGTAGGTGTAGGAGTAAGATATTAATTTTAGAATCACTGTGACAAATTAGGAGGAACTATTGTGACCCCAAGAACAACCAATAAAAAAATAAAGAAAACAAAGAGCTAAAAAGTCAATAGAGGAGATAAAATGTAAGACAAAAAATTTCTCAATGCAAACCACACAAGAAATTAGGCACAAAAGAACAAAGAACATAGGTGACAAAGAAAAAAAAAAAAAACAGCAAGATAGAAGCCTTAAACTAAGCTACATAAATAATTATATTAAATGTAAATGAATGAAACACTCCAAGTATAAGTCAGAGATTTTCAGACTGGTTTAAAAAAAAAAAAATAATGGGGCCGGCCCCGTGGCTTAGCCGTTAAGTGCGCGCGCTCCGCTACTGGCGGCCCGGGTTCGGATCCCGGGCGCGCACTGAGGCACCGCTTCTCCGGCCATGCTGAGGCCGCGTCCCACATACAGCAACTAGAAGGATGTGCAGCTACAACATACAACTATCTACTGGGGCTTTGGGGGAAAATAAAGAAATAAATAAACATTTAAAAAAAAAAAAAAAGACCTAACTGCATTCCGTGTACAGGAGACACACCTTAAATATAAAGACGCAAAAGGCTGAAAGTAAATGAATGGAAAAGGATATACCATGCAAACATTAATCAAAAGAAAGCTGGTGTGGCTATATTAATACAAGACAAAGCAGACTTCAAGATCAGGAATATAAATGGAAACAAAGAGGAACGTTTCATGAGGGAAAAAAGAGTCAATTCACCAGGAAAATATTACAATTCTAAATGTGTATGTATCTAATAACATAGCTTCAATATATATGAAGGAAAAAGTACTAACCAAAGGGAGGAACAGACAAATACACAATATAATTGGAGATTTTAACACTCCTCTGTCAGTAACTGATAAAATAAGTAGGCAAAAATCAGAAAGGATGCAGATGAATTAAACATTATTTAACAACTTGACCTAACTGGTCAATTAACTGCAGAATCCAAAATTCTTTTCAAGTGCATATGGAATATTCACCAATATAAATGGTGTGCTAAGCCATAAATTAGGTCTTGATAAATTCAAAAGGATAAAAATCACACAGAGTATGTTTTTGGACTACAATGGGATTTGATTAGAAATCAATAACCAAGAAAATCCCTAAATATTAGGATATTAAGCAATATGCTTCTAAGTAACTATGGGTCAAAAAGAAATTAGAGATATTAGAAAATATTTTGAACTAAATTATCAAGAGAATACAACATAAAGTCTGTGGAATGCAGTTAAAGCAGAACCTAAAGGGAAAATTATAACTTTAAATGCGTATTAAAAATAAAGCCAGGACCTAAGCTCCAAGTCAAGAAGCTAGGAAAGAAAAGCAATTAAATCCAAAGACATTATAAGAAGGAAATAATAAAGATAAGAGCAGAAACAAATGACAAAGAAAAATAAAAAACAAAGAAAATCAATACAGCCAAAAGTTGGCTCATTGGAAAGGTAAGTAAAATAGATGAATCCCTCACAAGATTTATCAAGAAAAAGAGAGAAAACACAAATTATCAATATCAGAAACAAAGGAAGAGACATCTATACAGACAGACATTGAAATTATAAAGCAAATATTATATACCATTTTTTTGCCAACGAATTTGACAACTTAGACAAAATAAACAAACTAAAAATAAAGTTGAAAAATAAAGTTTACTGAAATGGGCACAAGAAAAAATAGAAAATATGAATAACCCTATATCTAAAAAGTTAGCATGCAACTGTGAAACTAAAAAAAATCTATAATTACATTTCAATGATTAGAAATCCAATTGGCAGCTGACATTAATGAACTAAGAATACCCTTCTTCTTGTTCATCAATTACATACTCACCATATTATTTAAGTGCTTCATTTTTAAATCTATCTTCTTGATAGTAGAGACCCTAATTTAGTCTTAGAAGTTAATATGAATCAATCAAACAATCTCTCTCTCTCTCATATTATGATCTTGGATAGACAGATCTAGATTGTTTTGCAGTAAAATGCTATGTATATGTAGAGTATACCCTCTGCCAACCCTTGGAGACATCTCTAGATATATGTTTATCTCTCTCTCTCTATATACACACCATTACACCCTCTGATAGCCCTTTCTGTTTTTTATTTTTTTCCTTTCTTGATTCCAAGGAATATTAAATTGCTAACTCAATACTTGGTAGACAACCCTCAGTGGCAGAGAGAATCATCACACAAGGGTAGGTTTTAACATTCTAGTTTCCCTCACACACTCACTGGCATATCTAGGGCTCTGAAAGTCCCATAGTAAAAAAGAGGGGGAAAGGAGTATAATGGTTATTAACTGAAAGTAATACCTAACAAGTTCTGAAAGAGTTTTTCCCTTTCCTTTGAGAACGAGTCAAATACGACATTTTCTAAAATGTCAGTTTACTTTAGGAATTAAGGACAATTTACTTCATGTTCTTCAAATTTATTCTATAAAACCAGAGTCCAGCTTGAGGACACAATACCAAATACACTACCCATGTTTCCTGGACTCATCAGAGTTAAGCAAAGATAGTCATTGGTTTGCCAAGTCAAAGACGTGTGAGAACCATTTTTAGATAATGCTTATGGTATCTTAGAAGAAACCATGACAGAAGTCTTGCCTGCAAATATTTTAAGATTTATGAATACAAAGGACAAAATTATTAACACCTACAGTATTTTGCAAAATCCTTCTGCAAATCCTTCCTGGTGTTGACAAAAGCGCGTCCTCGCTCAGTCCCGACGACAAACACGTCTGTCTCATACACTGCGATGCAGGCCACTTCTGCCTTGGACTTGGCCAGTTCTTTACACTGAAATACAAACAAAGAATAAAGCATTATATACAAGGGCAGATCCAGATTTTGTGGGGCCTAGGAGGTCTGCTTTACGGTAAAAAAACAAAATTAGGTACAAAAATGAATATTTATTTAGAATGAGAAAACATTACCAAGAAAAAAACAAAACAAATTTATCAAGCAAATATCATAAACATCATAAAACCCAGAGAAGAAAATATTTTTATTAACCGCCTGTGATGTTGTGATTTATAGTAAGAAATATATATTTGGTCTTCATTCACTGTTCCTGGCACAGAACTCCTAAACTCCTTGAAATTTCCTAAGTGAAGAGACTGATAAAGCTATCTTTTGTTATCTTAATGAGGTGACTTTTGGACAGCACCTAAGGATGGGGGCTGGTTGCCAGGAGAACCAACCAGGTGATTAGAGGGTTGGAACTTTCAGTCCACCCTGCTGACCTCTGGGGAGGGGGCTGGAGGTTGAGTCCAATCACCAATAGCCAATGATTTAATCAATCACGTCTTTGTAATGAAGCTGCCATAAAAACCCAAAAGGACGGGGTCCAGGAACTTCTAGGTTGGTGAACACGTACGTGGAGGTGCTGGGAGAGTGGTGCCCGGAGAGAGCATGAATGCTCTGAGTCCTTTCCCCATCCCTTGCCCTGTGCATCTCTTCCATCTGGCTGTTCCTGAGTTATACTCTTTTATATTATTTATAATTAATATATATTTATAATTTATAATTATATTATTATTATTTTATAATAAACTGGTCAGTAAAATGCTTCTCTGAGTTCTGGAGCTGCTCTAGCAAATTAATCAAACCCAAGGAGGGGGTCTTGGGAACTCCCAGTCTATAGCCAGTTGGTCACGAGCACAGGTGACAACCTGCACTTGCTACTGGTGTCTGAAGGGGGGAGCATCTTGTAGGACTGAGCCCTTAACCTGTGGGATCTGATACTCTCTCCAGGTAGAGAGTGTCAGAACTAAGGTGAACTGTAGGATGCCCAGCTGGTATCAGAGCATTGCTCGTTGGTGTGGGAACCTCCCCAACACACTGGAATCAGGGGCAGAATCTTTACCACCTGACCCGCCTCTCCAATATACCTTTTTTCCTACATTTTTGGCTGCAGACTCTTTGACTGCCTCTTCCTGTGACAACAATTTTATAATATCATTTTCTACGGAGAGAATAGAGAGAATTTACTATTTCCTCCAACGTGGTTGATTACATTTTTATTATTGATGGTAGGGCTGCAGAAAACATGAACATTCATACACAGACACACTTGCTGCTCATTGTCGTGCTCCAGGTTTATGCCCTACAGACAAGAATTCTGATAAATTCTATTTTGTGTAATTCGGCTCAAAAACCTAAAAGAATATTTGGTGTACTTATAACTGCACATGCTACATTCCTGAATATATTCCTTACCAGAGAGAACTTCTGTTTTGACAAAGCATCAATGAGAATCAAATCCTCTGTTTACAATTTTACCCGTTTAACGACTGGAAGAATTTTCCAGAGACTAGCTTCTGGCTCTGTACATTTAAAACCTTGTTTCTCTTCTACTACCCACCTACATCTGGAGTTGAGCACATGTTCACACCACAATATGACCTCAGGCCTTGCCCCCTGGTGTCATGTTATTGGATGAGATGACACAGGGGACTGTAGGAATATTCCTGAAAACCATTCCCACACTGGGATGTCTACAGTAACTTACCCAGACACAGTTATAACAGCAAGCCAGGTAATCCTTGCCACTAAATGACAACTAAATGTATCCTCAACCCAGCTTTCCCTTACTGAGAACCTGAAGACGCCCATGTCCATTCCAATATCACCTGACACAGTGGATTATGGGAGGCAGAATAATGGGCCCCCAAAGACGTCCATGCCCCAGAGCCTGTGAATATGTTACCTGACATGGCAAAAGAGGCCTTTCAGATGTGATTACATTTAGGACCTGGAGATGGGGAGATTAGCTTGGGCATAATGTAATCACAAGGCTCCTTCTAAGGAAACGAGAGACAGAAGGAGATGTGACAGTGGAATCGGAGGGCAGACTGGTGCCCTTGCTGGAAGGGACCACAAGTCAAGGAATGTGGGAGGCCTCTAGAAGCTGGAAAGGCAAGGCACAGATTCTCCCTGGAAGCATCCAGAAGGAATGCAGCCCTGTGGATGCCTTGATTTTAGCCAAATAACACCCATTTTCTGCCTTCTGACCTCCAGAGCTGTCAGATAATAAATGTGTGTTGCTTAAAGCCACTGAGTGTGTGTCGTTTGTTATAGCAGCAACAGGAAACTGATACAGGGGTAGTGGCAGAGAGAAAGTAATGAGAGGGAGCTGGCAACCTTAACTGATGTGGTTAAAATATCTCTCTTTTAACAAATTTTAGAAAAACATATGTGCACAGATTGCTAGGACTCCCCCAAGGCCAGGGGAGGGGCCGGTGCAAGGGGGGCCCAGAAGCTTAAGCTCCATTAGCTTCATCGCGAATCTCTGTTTGTGTCAAATGAACCAAAAATTCAGCACTTAATCGACCTAATTATAGAATCTAGTATCAGGTGAAATTATCGAGTTTTAGCCTTACTTAGGTCATCACTGGCAGAAAAGATCTTTTTAAAAGCATTTTTTCATAATAAAATATGCATATTATAAAAATTTTAGCAGATACAGAAAAGTCCACAGAAGAAAAAAGAAATCACCTATAATCCCATTCCTCTGAATTAACCACCATTCACATATTTTTTTTTGTGAGGAAGATCAGCCCTGAGCTAACATCCATGCTAATCCTCCTCTTTTTGCTGAGGAAGACAGGCTCTGAGCTAACATCTACTGCCAATCCTCCTCCTTTTTTT